ACCAATGAGCACTTCAAACTGCCTCACCCACCAGCTACTAGTCAAAAATTTTCCCATGGGTCAAGCCATTTATTCAAGTGTAAATGCACAACCAAAATATCTAAAGTCTCAGGGAGCTGTCTTACGGAGGTTTGTTCATTTGAATAAAATTGTTCATTCCAGAAAGTCCACATTTACAGAGATGCTAACCTCTAGAGATCTAAAATCTGGACACTCTCTGTGTTGTAATACACATCTCCCCAGAATGTCAGCCCCATAATTATGACATGGGAATGGATTAGGACATTATATGAACAGAGATTCCGACCCTGTGAACTGAAAAAAAAGGGAGATTCGTGGAGCGGCATAGCCACACCCATGAGTACCAAAGGAGCTACTAAGGGAGTCAGGGGCATGCTCCCCTGAGAATAAGTTAAAGATATGTGCCTGTAAGATGCCAATTCCTGCTTTTTAGATCACAGTCAATGGAAAATAGTGTGAGTTTTTAACAGGCAGTGGAAGCTAAGGCCTATTGGTCCCTATCACAGAATCATGCTCCGGCCAAAAGGGTAAAAATGGCTGAGAAACCACCGAAAAATGGCAAAGAATTGTGCTAAAAAAGACTGGTTGAACAAAGAAAACATTATCAATCTTTGACTAGTAAGAGTTTCAAAAACCGGGAGAATATTATGTGAAAATGGGAAGCCAGAAATATTCAGTAAAAACAGGAGGTTTCCGGCCAAAACGGGAGGGTTGGAATCTTTTTATGAAGTCTTACATGAAGTGCATAACATCAAAATTCACTTCATTGTTGTAGTGGTAAAATAATCTTTGTTAGCCTCCGAGCAAGCTCTTCATTTAGTTGAAGTGGAAAGTTCAGAAAATCATGAGCATGTAGCACCTCCACCACACAAAATATTTGATTTCAGATTTTGATGCAGAAATATGTACGCAAACAAGGTGTAACATAGGCACGTTTTAGGGGCATGAGCTATTTTGAATGCTTCAGTGCAACAGTATGGGTCATCTACTGTCTTAATCCTAAATTAAGGCTATGTTTTGGTCAAAATTGGGTATTGCTGTACATTAATGATAACGAGAACCGCAGTGCATTGCTGATTCGACCTGATCAATTCACTTTTCTTTGTCTTTTCTTTCAGACATCTGGTGCAAAATAAACAAATTGTCAAAGTACTATGAATATCAACTCACCAAATGTTGCTTACAGGTAAGACTTGAAGGTTTCGAGGTTTCTTCATGGTTTCTTAAAATAATAAAGGTTGTCGAATACCGAATAGCTGAGATTTTCATCAATGTGGTAGATGGTTGCATCATCATTATTCACGAGGTTATCACGTGAGATTCTGCTTTAATGAAACAGTATTTAACTCTGACCACTTAATTCTAAGAGTGTTATGAGTTTCTGCTTCTTAAAAGAAAAGAGCCTTTGCTTTTCCAAAACTAAAGATGTCTTCATACCTTCAAGTTACTATAATTACTGTGAAAAGCCGGCATGAGATGTAGAATCACACAGTTTGCACGTGAAAGTGTCGGACTTTGCACCTTTCGTGGTTCGTATGTGAAGGAATTCAAGTTATGACACTGTAATTGAGTAAACAGAATTATAAAAATAACTCATGCACACCATTTACACATGAAGATGTTGGACTTTGGCCAGCTTTTACAATTCGTCATAAAAAAATGCAAATTGTCAATACTAGAAAATTTTTCTAAACAATTTTAAGAAATCACCTGGGCTTTACAAGATCTGCAATTAAATTTAAATGCTTCATGCAACGTCAAGGTTGATAGCCTAACATTTATTAACTTCCAAGAAAATTATCAATTGAAATTGCCAAAATATATTTCTACTTATATCATGTTATTGCACTCAATAAAACAATATCTAATTAGTGTCAACTAGCTTCTTCCAATTTTATTCCCTAATGCAACTGTTTCTACTCAAAGCCTGGTTTCCATATGATCGCTACGATTGCTATGATCACTGTGATCGCTGAGAAAAAAAAAGTTCAGTGATCGCAGCGGTCATATGGAAACCACTTTCCAGAGTTCGCAGCGACAATGATCGCTGAGATAGAAAAAATTCTATCTCAGCGATCGGTGTCGCTGCGATTGCTAAGATTGCTGGAAAGTGGTTTCCTTATGATCACTATGATCTCTACCATGCGATCACTGTACTTTTTTTTCTCAGTGATCACAGTGATCGTAGCGATCATATGGAAACCAGGCTTAAGTTACGCATCTTTACTACACAAAATACGTTTCAATAACTATAAGCAGGAAGGATGTATCATGTTGTTCACTTATTCATGTTTTAATTGCCAGAACGAAAAAGGTTTGTTGAACTTTGTAAGCGAGAGAATAAACATTGTTTACAGGATTAACAATACTCGCTACAACTTCCAAAAAAATAAGCTGCCTTTCAAACATCTAAAACCACAATTTATGGGCCCCATACTTTTGAATTAAAGTCCGTGAACATATCTACGAAAATATATGACCTTTTATACTCTACCTTGAAGTAGCTGAAACAGAACTCATAAATACGTGCGTTTCACCATTCGCAATAGCTGAATTTGGTCAGAAATGTCTTGAAGCAGCATCCACACTAAAATATGAACCCTTAAACAGCTGCAGCACTGTCCACAGTGATGCAGCCGTTATAAAAGAGGAAAAAATTGTGAAGAATTAAGATGGCGGTCTCAAAGTGCCCTTTGTTCAACCTTTAGCAACAGCATGTTTAAATAGATGCCAAGATCTCATTGGTTCCTAAGCATCAACTCATAGTACCTTCAACATTGTTGGCTCTTGCAACAAACATCCGAATATACAAAGATGCAAAGCCACAAAGATATATACGCTCACACCACTGACATATGAGCTATTTTTTCAAAATAGCTCAATACTGGGAAATGTGCGAATTGCGAATGGGCAGTTTTGGGATTGACTGGTACATAAATCACTGGTTTGCTGCTCACATCACAACAATCATGTAAATTCTTTGAGGAAAAGCGACTCCAGCTTTTGAACCGTATCTGCCGGTCTCCAGAGTTTGCCACTTCCTGTGGGCTCGCATTTTTGACAACAAACTTTCAAATATTTTGTATTGTTTGAGCTATTTAACTGTTAACATCGAAGGTTTCCTCATAAAATCTGGTATGCTGTTGTAAAGTAAGAAATAACTTAACATGATTGGCGCGAAGAAAACCAATCACAGGTAACCCAGGCTCTGTGATAGTACCACAGTACGTTCCAGTAAAATTACAGTGTTTGTATGGGGTAAAAATATCATCCTAAAATTTCTAGGAAATACTAAATAAAGATCAATGAAACTTACTCTGCAGTTAATTGTTGTTGTCCTTATTGCTCCAACGAAGTTTCGTGATAATTTGCAGTAATTTGTTCAAATTCACTCTATCTACAATAATAATATACAAGGTAGGAAACACGAGGTGCCATTTTCGACGACATGCTCTCATTCAACACAACTTTTTCCACGAAATTCGAACTCCAACGGAAAATAAACATGCCAGGATCGTAGAAATAGGATAGCAACAGATATAGAAACCAATGAAGCTTTCCCAGATACAGAAACGAATCCCACAGACTTGGACAAACTCGAAGAATATAATCCAAACACACCGAGAATACGCTCGCCGAAGCAGCCGGGCCAGATCAACGCGCGGCCAAGAAAATGAGGCCTGGGCACTGTACAAAAAAATTCCATCCCGGGAGTCCTGGGGTGACCTTTCTAGGGACCGATACATCATTTGCCCAAGGCCACCCTCCCCTGCTGGAAAAATACTTGATAGAGGGCAATTGTTCTTCCTAGCCAATCACCATTTGCCAGAGCAAACCCCGCACACGCGCCTGAATTTAAATGGCTAAAAAAAAAAGTAATATAATCAGGAGAGTCTGCGGAGTTACAAGGCAGGTCAAATGTTACAATGCCAACAACATATTTTTTTCATCGCAATTTCCTGATGATTGGAGTGAACGAGTATTTTTGCACAAACGTTATGACGTCATCTATCCTCCTTGTATGTAGCCGTTGGAAAATTTAAGTTCATACATTAATAAAAGAATCTTAGTCTTAGTCATTTCTACGATCTCAGAAGAGCCTTACCTTTAATTTAACCTCCGGGCCGACAGACTTGTTGTGCTGCTTTGCGTCAAAGCTTGTTTCCTATTGTTGAAGTAGCACATTTCTTTTCACGTAAAGGAGCTAAACGACGACGAATAAGCCACCAGATGGTGAACCGTTTCAGCCACGGTGTTGAAGTTCAGTACAAACGGTGAAATCACTGTAAAGTTCAGAAACAAGCACATTTTTTAGGCGCCATCTTGGTTGCTTCTAGGTCCCAGGTCTCACGCGTTTAGAGAGATTTAGAAATTATACCAACCTGTCTCTTGCAAATACAAATTTATTTCGAAAAATGTAAAACAAATACTATGCGCTGTTTTAAATACTGCTCAGGGCTAATCGATGAAAAGCTGATGATTCCGTTTTTGGTCTTATTTTCACCAAAAACATGTAAAGAAAAAATTTGAATTTTTTTCTAACCAAAATCATCGCTTTACCCCTTTAAAAAAAAATCTTTATTTTCTAGAGAGGCTTCTTTTACATTTAACACATCATTAAACATTATTTCTGGTCTTATTTTAAGTAAAATAGAAAAAAAGAAGAAAATCGAGTTTTTTTTACCAAAATCGTGAGTTAATCCCATTCGAAAAGGCCCATTTTTGGGACTTTGAAAAACTGACATTTTTATAGCCAAGAAGGCCTATCTAGAACATGATAAAACTTTGTTTTATGATGCCATTACCACCAAAAAAGGCCAGTCTTCATCAATAGCAGAGCTACTATTAGCAGTTTTATCATGATGATGATTACGTCTTTATTAAAGGGAACTACAACATTCTGAGACACTAAACTAATACGCTGGTTGGTGCGGTTTTTCAAGTGGCCACCAAACGGGAATATATGTAAGCTCGGGGGCTTACATGTAACTTGATCTTGTGGTTAGGTAGCTCTTTTTCACGATCCAATACGCAGCTGTGAACACCTTCAACAGCACATCTTCTGTGACTATTTCGCGGTTCGTCAAGGGTTCTTTGTCTCTTTCAGGGATCAATAAAAGGATGGCCCACGCCCAGGTTGGTCTCCCTAACAGGTTTAATTCAAAATTTCCGACGAGCACCCCCGACCCTTTCATGTGGCAGTCCCCCCCGGGTTAAAAATATACATATTGCGTGACAGCGTGACACGTCACAAAAAAAAAAGCAAAAACCCTGTCAGGGAGGTGTTCTAGCGGCCATTTTTCCCATTTAACCTCTGGGAGAGAGTTAGCCGTTTAACCTCCGGCGCGAGGGTTCCCATTTAACCTCTGGGACCGAGTTAATAGTTCGAGCACCTCCCTGCACTTGCTGGGCCGGAGATCGGGGCCCGTCAGCAAGCTAGACAGTCCCCCCCCGGTAAGTCAATCTACCGCACGGGTTAGTCAAGCAGGCTTCAGAGAGTTGGCCATCTCTCACCGCCCTATAACCCCACCAGCAAAATCAACCTACCTTTCGCCTTAGAAAATTGACCTATATATTTGGATCGAAAACTCATTTCGCTCACTTATGGTTTAAAACACTCATGGTACGGTTCTTCACAGACGCATGCGTGTTGGGCCAAAAAATGGTTTGGAATTTTCGTTGATTCATACACAACATCCTCATTCACTCAGGCCCGTTCAGTTCAGCTATGAAAAATATGGCTATCATTTTGTAAAAGTTGTTATTCCTCAAAATCTCGCGTAGCCCAGCTTTCCACAAACTCTTGTTACAAAAACGCGCCTTAGAGAGGTGCTCAGCATTTTATAAGATTAAATTTGCTATGAACTGTACATGCCATTGGAGACTTCGTAGGATACAATTTCCGCCCTTCAACGACTCAAGCAACACCTTGAAGGAACCATGAACATGAGGCAAGATCGACATCTGAACAACGGCCTACTTATGCACATCAAAAATTTGATAATGAACGACCCGGACACTGTTAAGGTTACAAGCAAGCAAACAGCTTTTTGTTTCACACACTATGCAAACGACATTCTGGGAAATTTGAGTGGAATACGCTTGGCTTGGTGTACGATGAGCTCCCCACCTCCCCCGCCGGCCCCTTACGTTTGTAAAAGGCTCTGATGCCTCTGAATTGGGTCCTAAAATCAGTTGTATTCGTAAAGGAAAAACGTAAAAAGGTTTGGTGATTCAGTCGAGGACTACCGATTCTGTTCGGCAGGCCCCTGGTGTCCTCTTCTCAGGCGCACTCAGTGAATGCTTTTTGGCAATGCAATTTAATAGCCAATGATTTCTCGTTGTAAAAGTATACCTCGTTATCGACAAGACTGTGAAATAAATGGAGCTGTGTAAACCCGTCTAGTCAGACCATTTTGTTGTGAAGTTTAATTAATTAGAGTTTAATAATTATTTTTTCGCAGTTAGATTCCCTGTTTCCTCGACATTAATAAGAAGCTTGTTTCTTTACTAGGTATTGTTCAATAGCACAACAGAAAGGCGGAAAACAATTATTAGTGAATTATTTCCAGTATATATTCAGTAAAGATGGAAAGGAAAGCCATTCTATTTCAGTTTTAATTATTTTTGATGAAGAGGACACGATAAAGGAGTTTAAGATCCAACGACCGAACAGCAAGGAAAACATCGCTCAAAAAGTGAATTTTCGTTCTTTCAGTCTTTATAGCGATTATTCCTATCCACTTACTTTGTCAAATGTAGGCGAATCCTCCCGAAGCTGAATTTCAAGGGACCATATCCAGGCTTAGAAAGAGAAATAAAATTTCGTCGTTGCTTGTTTACGTCCTCCACAAAACGCGAAATTTGGAATTTTCACCGCGTAGTCGTGCAAAAACGGAAAAAAAATGTACAAAAAAGTGCGAGGCACGTGCAAATTTGTTGTTTTGTGTAATAAAACCTATTGTTTGCCGTCGCGTCATTGAATCTTAAAGTCAATAGAACACGCTGGTTGCAAAACACAAGATTAGGTTTTAATGCTCCAAATTTAACTTACGTTTTTTTTACAGTAATATTGCCTCCAACTGCTGAAAAGAATTTCACAGTTGCATCAAGTTTAGACGTATTTTTCGTTCCTTTTCCCTAAGTCAGAAAATAGTGGATGTTGTTTAATTATGCGCAAAAGAATACCGGTAAAATGTACCACAAACGTTTAGTTACACATTATTTAGAGCGGTGATTTGATAAATGCAAATTTTGCATTTAAGAATCTCTACAGACACAAAAATTCGCAAATAAACGACTCTGTATATATGCAGAGTAAAACTACTTCGCAATTAATTAATTGCGAGTTTTTTACTCACTCACATATACGAAGCAAAATTTTGCAATTAGTTAATCGCGAAGTTTTCCTCTAAATACATATTTATTACACTGATACAAATCTCGCACTTAACTATTTTCCTTAACGACGAAATTTCTGTCTGTTTATAGTTAAAGACTCAAATCTCGCACTTAACTATTTTTGTGTTTCTTACTATAAACAGAGAAATTTCGCAGTTAATGACAAATGATTAACTGCGAGATTTGTATCAGTATATGTATATGCATGCACAGTATCTTTTTACTTATTTTACTTTTCACTGAGATAATTAATTGCCAAAGTTTGTCGTCTATCTGTAGACAAACTTAAATGCAAAATTTGTATTTATATCTACTCCCGCTCGCATACCTTCAAAGATCTTCATAGAAACCGACTCTGAAAGACGATATACAACTTTCGACTTATAATCGGCTTCTTGAACCGCAAGAGACCTTCCGACCGGTGATGTTTGTTCAGGGGTTTTGAATAAGTATGAAAAGCCGATGATTCCGTTTTTAGTCTTATTTTCACCAAAAACAAATAAAGAAGAAATCTGAATTTTTTTACCAAAAGCATCGGTTTACCCCTTTAATAAAATCCGACTTTCTGGACTTTGAGAAACTGACATCTTTGTACTCTAGAAAGGCTTCTTTTATACTCAACACATCATTAAACATTTTTTCTGGTCTTGTTTTAACTAAAATAGAAAAAAAAAGAAACAAAAAAGAGATTTTTTCTAAGATTTCAAGTTGCCTGGTTATTGTTGTTAAATATATAAATATCTGAAGTCCACAGCAGCAAACCCGAATGAGTGTTGTCGGATCTCTCAGTTGTAGACCTGGATCAGTACAATTAAACTTGTAGAAAAATATGAAATGGCAAACTGATCCTTACGGCAAGGCGATGAGGAAGTAAACAAAAGTCAAAGCCCGCCAAACCGGGAATACATGTACGCTCGGGGGCTTACACTGTGTGACTTGATCTTGTGGTTAGGTAGCTCCAGCTGTAGCTCATTTTCATGATCCATGCAATACGCAGCTGTGAACACCTTCAACAGCACATCTTCTGCGACTATTTCCCGTTCTCTGAAACAAGGAATTCCTCTGTAGCATCTCCGCTGAAACTGCGTTCATATGTTGTGACGTACGGCATTGATCTTCAAATTCTCCTAGGCGAAATCTTTTACAGGGCTCCTTGTTAAAAACTTTCAACTTGTTTTGAGGATTAGACGTGTCATGTTTTTTGCACAACAAGCAGAACAGACCTTCGCCTTCAACATAAACAGGCCTCCACATCTCAGTTTTAACACAAAATGACTTGCTATTTTGTTTAGCCAAATATGTTGAAATTTGTTAAGTCTGCTTTGCAATCTTTGTTGCGTCGTTGATGGGATCCTCGACAGTCTCGCTTAGGGGTGTAAATTTCGAATTTTGCTTGATTCTAGGTCCCAGATCTCGCTCATTAGAAATTATACAACGTGACCAACCTGTTCTACTGAGCTTCATCTATGAGAGTTTAAAATAGTTTGGATCGGAACAGCTTTTATTAATTTTTGCTTCTTTAACAAAGAAATACAGATTTACTTTGAAAAATGTAGAACAAACACTGCGCGCTGTTTTTAATACTGCTTAGGGGTAATCGATAAATTGCCTCAAATCTCAAATTTTTATTTTAACACGGTAAAAATTCATCAGCTTTTTTGTTACATATAAAGCATAACTACATAACAATATTTAATAATAATAAATACGTATATAAAGAGTCTCTTAAAAAAACTACTCAAAATTACACTAAACTATACCTTTTTTCCATGAATGCCGTGTATCTAACTTAATTAATTAAAATGAAATTTTAACAATTGCTTAAAACGATTTAGAGATTTCTCTTTCTTAAGATTGCGGGGCAGACTGTTCCAGAGAGTTGCATCTCTATAGCTAAAGCTCCTTTTTAGGTACTTGGTTCTTGGTAAAGGGACATTTAATTTGTTCGTAGAGTCCCTTAAGACATAGCCTGACGTACTGCGCTCAGTAAACATAGAGGATAAATGGTCAGGAGCCAGATCATTAAGAGCTTTGAACACCATTAAAGCTACTTGAATTTGACGCTGGGTGATCAGGTCTTTTCAACCAAGTTGTTATAACAAGTAGCGAGCGTCAGCATCATAGGAGGAGGAAGTCAAAATGCGAGCAGCACGATTCTGCAGTATTTGTAAACTTTCAGAGAGCGTTTTGCCGCAATTACCCCAGACAACACTACAGTAATCGAAATGGGGTTGTACCAAGGCATTGTAGATGTAATGTAGTATTTCTGGCGACACAAAAGGTCTAATTCGCTTTATGGCGCCAATGCCAGGCTAGAGGGAATCTTTGGATAGTTTTCCCCCCGGGGGTACTTTAGGAATTTCTGAGTGGGGATGTGCCGCTAAGACCCTGGAACTCTTCACCTATACCAGAGCTAGTACAGCTAACGTTTGCTACCCTATACTAGAGTAAACTCCCCAAATCTCCCTATCCTAGAGTAGCTGTTTCCCTAGTCTAGATAAAATCTTCAACCAAATGATCAGTTTCCTGAAAAATGATACCCTTTTCTAGACCCAAACGCTCTGATTTATATACCCTATCCTAGAGTAAACTGCTTGAAAACCATACCCTTCACAGCGGCACATACCTATATAGCCCATGTATGGCAGTAACCCCCCCCCCGGGCTTGCGTCGCAGACGCCCAAAATCTTCTTTATGAATGGTTTAGACGAATGCGTGGGCCGGCGGCTGCAACGCACGCGCTATTAGATCTATGAAAAGCTGAAGATTCCTTTTAAGACCCTGACAGCAAACTAATCAACAGATGCTAATGAGACTTGACGACAGAATGGTGATAATGATGATAATGTTGATGATGTTGATGATAAAGAAGAAGAAGTAGAAGAACATGATGATGATGATGATGACGATGATGATGACGTTGATGGTGGTATTGGTGCTAGTAGTGATGACGATGATGATGATAATGATGATGATGTTGTTGTTATGTTGATATGTTCATGGTGACCATGACGATGATCATGATTGGTTAGTCATGACTGCACATATTCTCAAACCATTTTTTATTGTTCATCAAAAATATTATACTTAAAAACATGCTTACCTTCAAGTAGCAGTTGTCATCCGTTGGATTGTGTTACCTGTTGGTCTTGCTCTGTTTTTAGGCAGAAGTTCGGCTTTTTTTTCTTCGCAAAACGTGGGTAGCAAATTTTCTGCCACTTTCTACTAGAAAAATTTAGCTTAAATCATTAAATTAGACATCATTGTGCCTAACTATGTAAGGTGAGGAGGTAATAGAGTATTATTGTTGGGAAATGAGGACTTCTTCAATTCTTTTGGCAAAAAAAAATCGGTTACGTGATGAGTCATGAATCTTCAGGAGGAAAGATGAGCAAAGATCATAATAACTTCAAGACAAAATATTCTGACACTTTATAAAGCAGAAAGGGCAGTAATTACATTTTGCGGATGCAATAACGTATTTTGAGAGTGTTAAGTATATTTTTTATCAGCAGCTACAGACTTGTACTATAAACTAAGCTGAGGCACGACTTGACACACACAGAGTGTCCTTTACTGGCCTAAATTAACTAACTCTCCTTGTCACTGAAAATGTGAGCAGGATGCAATTTAGCATGTTATCTGTCCAAGGAAACGTTAAAGAGTTCCCTCTGTATAAACGCATTTTAGACACTAGTGAATTTCAATACTTGAATACACAACTAGGAATTTATCGATCCACTACTCAAACGCTGTCTTCTATATCTCAAAGTCAAACTCTAATCCAGTTCCTTTCAGTTTTTCCAACACTTCCTTTTCAAATCTCTCATTCAGTTCTGGAGTGAAGTAATTCTTCCATCCACCGACCACTCCCTTCCGGAGAAGCAAGGAACTCTCTTCGTTCCGAATCTTATAACTGATCTCATTTTTCGTCATGTTCTTGAATGTACATTGCTCTGCAATACGATTGATGAGTTCATCGGACAGTGGTTTATTCAAAAAATTAGCAATCATTCGTACATGGAGCGGTGAATCCTAGGAGGAATTGAAATTGAAATTGAAATTTGAACAACTAATTATCCTCTCCTCTTATATACATGGGGCTTTTCAGGGAAGATGAAACAAATACTTCAAAGAAGACATAAGAAAGTTAGGAATCACAATAGGTAGGAGGCGAACACTGAGTTGGCTACAGTAAAAACCCGCGAGTAAGAAACTGAAAATTAAGAACCTGTTAGCCTAACATTTGCCATTTATACCCCATATAAACAAGAACATGTTTAGCCTAGAAAATGAAAAACGGGTTCTTATTTTTTAAAATCATATTAATGAAATGCAGCCGCAAAGCTGTGCAAGAATCCTGTTTGGAGAATTAGGAGCTTGGCATTGCTGTGCAAATACAAGTGCTAATTTATTGATGTAATAAAAAAATAAAGTGCAAGAGGTTAACATTGTTGTATCGCTTTTTGAAATTGAAAAATACGCTGATTACCATCTTGTTTTGTAGCTTGTTCTTTTTTATATATTTTTTTAATACTGTGTTAACTACCACACAGTAATTTTCAAGGAGTTATCATAACTCCTCTAGTGGGGCTAATTTAACTCCTTACGGTGGAGTTATTTTTTTGGGAGTTATTTAAATCCAAAAAGGAGTTTAAAGAACTCTTTTTCAGGAGCAAAAGTGACCCCAGATATTGAGAAGTTAAAATAACCCCAGAAAAGGAGTTATCCTGTACCTAACACTTTTACTCCACTTTCAGAGTAAAATTAACTCCAAAAAGACTAAAAACAACCCATGTGACGAGTAAAAATAATCCCATTTCGGGTTATATTTACTCCAGACTGGCAGTAAAAAGAACTCTTTTTCAGGAGTAAAAATGACCCCAAATTCGGAGTTAAATTAGGAGTTAAAGTAACACCCAAAAAGAGAAAAGAGGTTATCCTGTACCTAAAATTTTTACTCCATTTTTGGAGTTATAATAACTCCCTAAAAACTACGGTGCATTTAAATAAGAACCTGTTTAGGCTAACTTCGGAAAATGTCGGTTCTTACTTGCGGGTTTTAACTGCATTTCACAATCGCGGCCAACAGATTTAGCTAGCTGTCACTGGTGGGACTTCCACTCGGGGCCTTTAGATTACAAGTCTAGCGCTTTAATCGCTCGGCCATGCTGCCCCTCCCAGCAAAACTGTTAAGCCCCGTGTAAACGGACGCAACATCGTTGACCAACAACTCGCAACATCGTGTATGCTACATGTGACGTCCGTTTGCACACCATGTTGTATGTTTTTACCTGTTGTTGCTTGTTGTTGCGTAAAGTTTGAAACCGGTCAAACTTTTAGCTACGTGCAAACGGGCGCAACAACTCTCAACAATGTTGGCCAAGAATGTTGCGTCTGTTGAAGCATCAGTGCACCAAGCAACAAGGATTAAGATTGTTTTATCTCTCAGTTAGTAAGCGCGCGAGGATTTGTCTGTTCTGCGGGCTGTATGTTTTTTTATGAAACAAACCCACGATTTTGAACACAAAAATTTAGGATTTGACAAGTGCCTTCCATCAACGACCCAGCGTGCTTCTTGAATTGAAATCTTCGATGCCTTTTTAGCGTCTACTTAACCCAAATATATAATAGACATCTAACTAACCTAGCTTTCTCGATCCATACTGCAAGTTACGGAACCCCGTTTTTTTCCGTTCCGACTTATGGCCCTCGCGCTGAAAGCTCAAGTTACGGGTCAAATATAAATCCTCCGAGCGAAAAAAACACCCGGTCCTTAACTCCGGTACGGACCTCAAAGAAGATAAGTCAGAATTTTTATTTTAAAGTATGTAATTGAATTGAGAAAGATATAAGGATGATTGTATTCACAATTGGTATGAAGGATGTTTATCTCGGGGTGACTAACTCTCCCAATAATCTGAGGCTATATTTACACTATTTCTCTTTTGCGACACGAAAACTATACCAGATGGGCCTATGTTCATTCTTAAGAACTGTGTTTTGCAAGGGCGATTCTTGTAACGGAGCGAAGTTGCGCCGGCGCTCCGATCGAAAAATGAAATGTCTCATATCGGACAGCAGTTTCTGTGCCACACTTTCGTGCAGTGTGAACTGCGAGGACTGGAGTCAACTAAGACGGAAGTGAATATTTAAGAGTGAAGACTGGGATTTAGTACGACTTGTCCATTTCTATGCCGTTGCTGTTCATACAACTACACCTGGTGGCTTTTCGTGCCCTCACGGATGCTATCCGTTATCCGGGGGGGAGTACTTTAGGACTTTTTGGGTGGGGATGTGGGGATGTGGGATGTGCCGCTGGGACCCTGGAACCCTTAGTCTATACCAGATATAGTTCAAGTGAATTTTGCTACCCTATACTAGACTAAACTCCCCAAATAAGGTCCCTAATAACCAACATTAACATACCCGAGTTACGCCACCACCTCCCTCCCCCTCCTCTTACTCCTATCCTGGGATCATGACTTCCCAAGTATGTATCACTCCAACCATTGCCACTGAAATAAGAGTTTTTATGCTACTAATTCAGGATAAGTAATCGGCTCCTGACTAATTAGAAGGAAACTGCAAAATTACCTTGTGCAAATCTTCATATTTGAGAAACAAGACATTGGGATCGTCTTTATGTCTCCACCAATCAAGAACATGGTCGTTCCAAGCGTTCCAAGCGACTACAGACAACAAAATATTACTGAGTAAGATCAGAAACTCATAAGGGTTTCTGGTAAGATGTAATATAATAAGCTTCTTCGTCCTATTGACATGCGAGGAACGAGCGCAGAAATTCCACTTTGATGACGTGACTACACAGATCTGGGTAGTGCTTCTGATTGGTTGAAGCAAATTCCCTTGCAGCACGACCCATATCTGGGTAGTGATACGTCATCAGTATGGAATTTTTTTTCGCTCGTTCCTCACACGTCTTTTTGCGGGGAAACCAATGGTGACGTCGCAAAATACCGTCTGTTTGCTCAGCAGGCTAGTGACGCTTTAGCCTGCGTTGCGGGGGTTAAAAGGGGAAGGGGAAGGGAGAATTTGGGCGCGCGAGGGAAACAGGAATCACTCCTCCCTCGCGCGTGGTCTCGCGCCCTAATTCCCTTCCCCTTCCCTTTCGAACGCCTGCCACGCAGGCTAGTGACACTTGGGCTAATCTATATTTTACAGTCACGCCAAAGATGTAAATAAAACTTTGAACGACGAGGCTGGTGTAATCGAGTCTTCTGTCGGAATATTCCACTTAATCTGTATCTAGCGTAGATTGGTACAGATAACACGATCATTTTTTTTCCGTGTGTAATGTACAAAAGGATACGGAACCGTTTGTCATTCGTCGCGTTAGAAACGAGAAGGGGGCTAAAGCCGAAATGCGTCCAGCAATTTTTTAGGGGACCGTTACTGAGGACGCGTCGGTCAGCTATTAGGGACTTCATAAGATCGAACTACGCGGACGGCAACGAGAACGTCAAAAAATCAAGGTAAAAGCAAAAAAACAATTTTGCACGTGCATCACGCTTTTTTGTACATTTCTTTGCGCGTTTTTTTACGATTACGACGTGAAAATGCCTAATCTCGCGTTTTATGGTGTACACAAACAAGGAACGGCGAAATTCTATTTCTCTTTCTGAACTTGGATGAGGTTCTTAAGAATTTAACTCCAGGAGGGTTCGCCTACAATTGATCATGACTGATAAAGAAAGTGGGTAGGAATAATCGCCATAAAGACTGAAAGAACGCAAATTCACTTTTTTAAGAATCGTTCTCTTTGCCGTCGCGTCGTTGAATCTTCAAGTCCATGGTTGTTTTCCCTGTCTCTAGTAACATCCTCAGAAGTTGCAAAATTTAACTCAGGCCACTTTCCTTCTCGTAGCTATAGCAGCTAATCTGCTGTGGTACACTTCTCCTTTCAGAATATGAAGACTTACCATTGCCCTCAATGAACAACTTGCAGGCGAATTCCCATGGTCCACTGAAATCAAAAATGCCAAGCTTTTTCCAGTCCTCCATGAAATGAAAGTAAGACACCGCCACATCCTTCGGGTTGCGAGCAACGTAAATATATTTACACTGAGAATCTTTTTTTGCACTTTTAGGGGTAGTTGGGTAAGGAAGGTGGGTCTTCATCAGACGAGGGCTTGGCAGAGTTTTAAAGTCAACCAACATCTCTCTGACAGCACTGCAGGCAGCGCCTTCAAAGTATGGGATCCGGAGCATTTGTCTTTCGGTGCTGATTGTTCCCTGATTGTAAATTTGCCAGACAATTTCCTGCACCCAAGTTGTTCCTAAAGACAACGAGCGATGCAAAATTGAAGCAACCTATCGTTTTCGTTCTTTTAAACATGAACGTTCAAAAAGTGACTGTGCACATTCTATATTTTACCCAATTACATGAAACTCTGTATATCTATGACGAACGCTGTTCTGTGATAGCCCCGGTTGCCGTGATCTTCACCTCTTGAGATTACGGACCTACGACGCGAAATGACCAAATTCGAAGTTCTCTATGGAACGTGAAAGTGAAACTGCGAGAAATTTTCTGCATTCATATGAGCTTGGACTTCATCCCCTCTCTTCGGTTAAAGATTAATCGCACAACTTTTAAACAATAGCTGAAAAGAATGAGAGAGGATGCATTTTAAGCTGGGTGAACTTTGAAATTTGAAAATGAATTAATCAGCATGTCAAGAGCTTGGGACAAAGAGAAATAGAAACCTAGTACATGGCCTTGCTCTCCATGAGTTCTCCGCAGCTCGCCCGGTGTTTAGGAGGTCATCGGTTCGAATCCTGTCGGGGACTCAGATTTTTTCTTTATCCCACGCTCGTGACATGTTGATTATTTAGTCATAAAAGTTTGAAAAGACTTGAACTGGTAAGTCCGTTTTTCAGTGACGTTTTGTGGGATCGTAAGGTCTCTAATTTGCGATCGTTACATCGTCGGAATAGATTTTACTTGTTCCATCTCGACGATTGTGCCCGTCCACATCGTCCTGCTTTGTCACGTCTCATCATCATCATCATCGTTTGGGACAACTCCACCGTTGATGGAGACTGTGACGTGGACATAGATGCTTAAAAATGGGGGGCTGGGGCACCTAATTAACCATCGTCTATGACTAAGAAATGGCATTATTTGAGTACTATCCAATAATTCTGTTTAAATTATTGTAAATAGCACCTTGAGAGTACGAACCTGACTTGGGATATGAAACGACGAACACGTCATCTGGTCGGGTTTCGAAATGGGAAATATAGTCGGCTAGCAACTCTGGATCTTTTGTGAAAAACGATGGAATTTTTACTCCCAAAACGTCCCAGTATTTCACTGATGTCCATTCGCCTTCTGTTATTTGAATCACTGGAAAACCTGCCATGGTAAATTCCGCGTTACAATCTTGATCAGCTTTGCACAAACAATCGAACAGCTTTATCTGTTTTCAAACAGAAAGCCTGCATGCGATCTGTAACGTTCATTATTATATGGTTAGGGTTCTGCTTGCGGCCAAGGTGAAGCAAATCCTGTGTTCGGATTGGCTACCCGACTAACCCGAGCGGGCAAGATGGATCTATCAAGCCCCTTCGGGATTTCCCGCTTTGGTCCCGCGAGAAAAAAGCTTCGGTCAAGATGGCCGGACATTGGGCTTGTTTTTTTGCGTGTCATTTGAACTCGACCTTGTCTTCGTCCAAAAACCGCAAAATAGAACTTGGCCGATAACCAGCTACCTTGACCTCGCATAACGCATATGCATGCACGATCTCATTATATTTACTTACTAGAGGCAAATATTTACTGAGGTCAATGTTTCCATCCTCGTTCCTCTGAGTCACGGTATCGCACCCGGCTTTAAAACAAAAATACCCTTATAGAATTTTCCGAGAAGTCATGTATTTGCAATCCATGTTAAACTTAAAACACCCTTAACTTTTCATAGACAATATGTTCAACTCTGGCAACAATTTGTTGACCATACGTTTGAACAGAAAAGTGCGTTTCAGATTTTGCACAAATAGCAACTAACAAACAGAAATGCCAACCAATGAGGTGGTCTCTTACAAGAGCAAAACCACAGGGTTCAATTACTAATAATGCAGACTTTACTGCACGCAATGTCTAAGTCAAGGTACGTGCAGTGCCGTGTTTTCATGTAAAAGTTCTTAGTGAGCACTGAAAATCTGGTCTCTTACCCAGGTCTACGCAGCCGTTGTCGCGCAACGCTCCTCGCCAACAGGGGTTGGGCGCGTTGCGTGACGATCCGTTGCGTGACGTGACGTTGAGTGATGACCACCAACCACTGTTCAGGATATGACCCTGCGCTCCTTTCCTCTCTGCTCGGAAGGAACAAGACCGGACCCAATCTAGCATTACAGGGAACATAGAGATGAAACAGAACACACGTCAAGTGGCACAAGATTTTGGCCCCATTTGAATACCAAAACCGAGCGCCAAGTTCAGAACCACAAGGTTGAAATATCCACTTACTCAAACGAGATCAGGATACGTACGGTGCCATGTTTTCGCTAAACGTTCTTCCTATACTCTGTGCGCGAGCAGCGTGGTACATGCAGAGGAGACAAAGAACATAGAGATCAGAACATGAGTCCAGTGATCGCTCATAGAAAAGCTTAAATTAACAATGGAAATTATGAAGTGTTTCGAAAACTTAAGACTTTTTTAACGGCGACAACAACAACAGTCTTACAAGAGTATATCATATTATCATTTAATCATTAAAAACCAAACTGACACGCACGTAGATGGCTAATTCTCGTTTTTGCTATTTTTGTAGATACTGCGGAGCGTGCAGAATCCGAAATCCAATGTCATTCCTCCTCTATATCTCAAAATCAAACTCTAAACCAGTTCCTTTCAGTTTCTCCAACACTTCCTTCTCAAATCTCTCATTCAGCTCTTACGCAACAATGGCGAACTCTGCTCTTCGTCCATTATCTTGTAACTGATCTCGTTTTTCTTCATTCCTTGGAAAGTACATTGCTCCGCAATACGGTTGATGATTTCATCAGAGAGTGGGTGGTTCAAGAACTCCGCTATCCTTCGAACATAGGAGGGCAAATCCTTAGATGCATAATGTATTGTCAAAGTTACAGTCAAGAAGACTTTTGCAGGGACTGATCAAACAACGTGAAATAGAGTTAAGTTGCCATATTTCGACTGGCCAATACCAGTCTCCATCAGGTTTATTGAGATATCACGAATTTACAGAAATATATATGAACTAAAATAATGACCTCAAATTACATAATATGACGTGGTATGGTGTGGCTACTTAAAGAGACAAGATAACAAAAAAATAAAAGATATACTATATATAGTTACAGTTCATCACGTTTATTGATGCCCAGAGGCTCAATTGTCTTAGCTTTATGGATAAGGTGAGCTTCACGTGCTTTCCTGAAAGAATCACGCCCATGTTTAAGTTTTTCAATAGGAATCAAGAGCACATGATTGTCGGAATGATTGCTGGTAAGGAAGTGTTCTGAAACTGCAGTATGGATGTAAATACCAGTAGGGTTGAGTATAGGTCGTCTTTGTTCATTAAAACGGTCTTTGAGGCGACGTTTAGTTTCTCCAATATATTGAGAAAGATTGTTCGTACACGGTTTTTGCAGTGTTTTTTTTTTACCTTAACTAAACAATGTATTGTCAGTAGATTTCAATTCATCAAGGACCCAGCATACCATTGTAGTTGCGCTACAACAGGTGCTTGCAAGCGGCCCAATTCAGAGTCGACGTTTCAGTTTGGCTTTCCGGCTTTAGATAAAAGGGTCGCTCGATAATTCTTAGCATGTGAATTGACACGCCAACAAAACGTATCGAGTATATATACTCCCCAAAAGATCTTTTTGGGTACATTTCGCTCAAATGTAGAGTCACGATTTAAGGACTCCTAATCTACAAAAAAAATACCGTATTTATTCGATTAACCGCCCTGGCCGCTTATTAAATTTCTGGACCTTGAGAGTGGGCGTTTATTCGAGGTGGGCGCTTATTCAAGGCTGGGCGCTTATTAAATTTTCAACATTTTCAGCAAGTGAATTATGTTTATTTTGCAACTAAACAACTGAACGCTAATAACAAAACGCGAAGAAGTAACAAAGCAAGGTTTCTGTAAAATACTCTGAACAAACCTTCGTCGTCGGGGAAGTTTCTTATTAGAATTTATTCACTCAAGACGGTGGGGTCCCAATCAAACTCAAATAAACGCTCACCCCCAGGAGGAGGGGGTGGGCGCTTATTCGAGGCTGGGCGCTTATCAACTTTTTCTACCTTTAGGATGGGCGCTTATTCGTGGTGGGCGCTAATTCGAGTAAATACGGTAACCATAACCTGTGTTGTCTAGAAAGCACAACAAACCGTTAACCCATGCGATGAACCATGTCGCAACCTGTTTACCCAAGTGAAAGTTTAAGTGAGCAATCTATTGTTGTTGGAGGTTCAGAAGGGTCTGGACTCCACTCCCCTTAAAAAATCTCTCAGACCAAAGCTAAGGATACCACAACAAAATATTTTAAATTCATAATTAACTACTTCTGAAATAATTCACTCAAGTGTCTCTTACAATTTTCATCTCATAGCTTTGAAATAAAACTTGCGTTACCTAACCTGTAGTACTGTTGCCTTTCAAATCACGGGCACTTGTTCAAGATTAGGAAAGTTTGACAAAATCGTTTTATCAACAAACAAAAGATGCAAGTGTTTGAAAACTGAGAATTCATAGCCTGGGAGTGAGCTTTCTACTGGAAATGGAGAGAAACAAAGAAATACAATTTCGTTCACAGAGCTAGAGGCTGCGATCCCGTACGCTCCCGCTGGATTTTGAAGGATCTTGGACGAGATGGCGCAGAAATTCAGTGGGGAACTTGGCAAACAGTAAAATGTCTTCAGCTACTGTTTGCCACTCTAATGATCAGTTGAAATCTTCAAAGCAGAAAAACAATGCTGTTTGTATACCTGCCAACCCTCACGCCTTAGGCGTGAGTCTCACGCCTGCGGGTTGAAAACTTCGATCTCACGCCCGCTCACGCCTGCGGACCAATTTCTCACGCCTGATTGAAAAATGTGAGTTGTTGTCGTCTTGCTGGACACAATTTCCAAAAATATGTTAACTCAGACCCATGTAACGAACGAAAACCATGTGTAAAATGAATAAATGACAATACCTTCCTCGCGATCTCTGATTTTGTGGATAAGCGTTTTCTCGATAACTTCGCCTTCGGCAGACTTCGGACGTCTTCGGAAGACTTCAGACGTCTTCGGAAGACTTCGGACTTCTTCGGGAATCTTCGGAAATGATCGTGTCGTTTTCAAAAATCCGAGCACTCCCAGGATAAAAATCTCACGCCTACATCTCAGAAAAACTTGGCAGGTATATGTTTGATTTTCTACAAGCTGATGCATTCCCAGTATGAAAATGAAAACATTTCTGCCAAGGTCACACTATATGTATCCCTACATAACGGAATTAGCAATTTGCAACATGGCGCCGAGTCGTGCTTCGAGGTGTATTCTGTTATTTAATTCGAGGAACGTTTGATCGTAACTCACAAACATGGCTTTGGTGGCGGGGATGGGTGTTGGTGTTTTACTACTGCTAATATTTTGGACTCTAGGCATTGTAGGTTGTGTAGCGTTGTCAAGAGCCGAAGGACCTTTGAAGTAAGCTTAACTCTAAGTGAAAACTTTCTAAACTTACTAGCTTATAGTAAACACTGCCTCTTTACAGTGATCAGTTTTGATATTACAGTCTAACATAGAGAAGAAAAAGGTGTTTTTACTGCTTTACATACCTGTGTTTTTATTGCGTGCTGGGTATCTTTACGATCATGTGTATATCAGTATATGGTTACTTGAATGTGTATGCATTTCTCTATATGCTATATATTTACAGGGCTGTCAACTCTCCCGGATAATCCGGGAGACTCCAGATTTTGAACCTTTTCTTCCAGTCTCCAGATTAGAGGCTGAAATCTCCCGGATAATCGCCGAAGTTTGCAGTTTCTTGTAGAATCGACTTTCTGACAATGAAATTTCAAAATTGCGTTGTTTTAGCCATTTTATTGTTAACATCGAACGTTTCCTCACAAACTCCGGTATGCCATTGTTATATAAGCAATGATGTGATTGGTGGGAAGTAAGCTAATTAGGTCAAATGTTACAATTCCAACAATATCTCTTTCACGCGTTTTTTTCCACAAATGACATCATGTGCTGTTTCCAATAATGACATCATTTATCATCCCTCGACCCCACATCAATTCTCAATATTTGAAGACATGGGGGGTTGACAGCCCCGCGCTACCGTTTTCTAAAATTTAAGCTTAGATCAATTCTCTCTTCTGCATTTAGAAATGCTGTTGTAGGAATATTCTTGCTTGTTGTTATTCTCACATTGGCTTTGATCTTCTGGCCAAGAAAAACTAAGGAAGAGGAATTGGCAGGATCCACAGCTAAAAAGGTGTGCATTGGAATGGTTGTGTGTTTATTAAAGGGGCAGGTTCATGGTTCAGCGCATGTTCATTAATTAAATTACTTTTTTCCAATTTATGATTTATTCTATCGGATTATAATCTCACTCACATGTATCTCAGCCATCTAAGAGTGTATTTCAAAGTAGAAGTGTGTTTCACAGTAACCTGAAGTAGGATGGAACAGTACTAAAATCGGAGAAAAAATTAGTGGATTATGCCAACACTACCAATGTCGAATTTGTTGTTGACCTGAAGGTTTTATTCCATGGTTGATGAATTTACAGCTATTTGGACATAAGTTGTTCAAGTGACTGCCAGAGGAGTGTGCAGATTCAGGAGCAGATCTAGGGGGAGGGTGCAGGGGGTGTGCACCCTCCCCCCCTGAGATGACCTGCTGTTTTCTAATACAACTGGTATTCTGCAAAAAAAAAAACTATGTGGTTTATTGGTGTTGAAGTAGAGCAAGAGACGAGTGCACCCCCTCCTAAAAAAAATCCTGGATCTGCCCCTGAGATTGGTTCTTTAACAACATTAAGACGTGATCATATTGCTTGCATAGACGATACTGCATGTCCCCCGGCACAAAAATAGCATCTTGATTAATGAGCATGTACTGAACCGTGAACCTGTCCCTTTAACCCTTTAAGTCCCAATATCCACATACAAATTCTCCAAACTGGTCTCCATACATTTCCTTGAAGAATTATTTGAGAGAATTTGGTAAAAGATCAAATATTTTTCTCTTTGTGATTATTTTGTTAATTCTCATAGACTTTGCTCATGATAGTCTATGGATATCGTTAGGAGAAAATTGATCTTGAGCACTATTGGGACTTAGAGGGTTAAGAATGAACAGAATATAGTACAGACTAACACCTTGTGTGGCATTTCTGTGGGGTTGTCCATGACCAACCTGAGAAAAGGTCAGTAGTTTAAGACCTTCAGATATTTCATTAACCCTTTAAGCCTCAATATCCACATACCAATAAATTATTAAATTCTGTAAACTTATCTCCATACATAACTGTTGAGAGAATTTCATAAGAGATCAAAGCATTTTTCTTTTACTGATGATTTAATTAATTCTCACCCTTTCATCTCAATTGTTTACTGATATTGTTAAGAGAAAGTTGATTTTGGTCACCCTTGGGACTTTTAAAAAGGGTTGATGAGAGGACTAGGATCTACTGTGAGTAAATTGGATGCATTTTGCTAAAAATTATGTTACTTCATATTTTACAGGGCCTCCATTTATAAAGATTGTTATTATTATTATTATTATTACTATTATTCTTCATTTTGCCTTGAGAATGGTGTCATGATGATACCGAAACATCGGCTTTTAACGCTAATATTCGCTTGCTTATGTTTTAAGAAATCGTTATTGATCAAGATTATTATTATTATTATTATTATTATTATATTTTGTTCAACAGATTGAAGTTGATGAACTGATTATTCCTAAGACTGTCCTGTTCGTGTTCCTCTGCATCTTTGCCGCGGTTGCCTTTGTTTTCCTGGTTCTTCACTGGATGGAGGCAGTATACTCACCTGCCCTTACCTCCAGGAAAACATACACATTCTAACAGGCAGATTCTGTTGATATGAACCAGCGATGCATGGATGATAACAAAATCAATGGAGAAGCATAAATAATTATTCTTCACTGTCTTTATCTTCATCTTAAATGGCATCATATTGAGCCATGTCTTGAAAGGCCTAGTTCCAGTGGTTATGCAGAGAAGCTTGTTGTGGCTTGCAAAAATATTTGCTTTACCGCTGTTTCGGATAACATGCGACCTGCAATGTCAAAAATGTCTTTGGACTTTGGGTTTTTCTGTGACGTCAGTCAAAATCTGAAGGCTCGGCACTTTCTAGCGGATCTCTTAGGAAACAGAAGTTTACTTCAACGGGTTCAAAAAGTCATGGTTTGTGATTTGTGATTGGCGGATTTCGATCTGTTTTGTATGGTGTGTTAGGAGGATTTGTGCTATGATGTTCTTTTGTGTGATGTAAACTTTTCGCGTTTTAGCTTTCACATTTTTTGCCCTCTTACTTAAACATGGCAGGTTTAGATTCCCAAGGTGAAATTGTTCCTATAGAGCTTCAAATCCAGATATGGGAGAAAACAAATTGGTACATTCCCGCTAACAGTTAATTTTGCAGCTTCTGCTTGTTATTGCGGCACTTTATTTGACAAGTAAGGATTAGGTGTTATGGAAACGGTTTGATTGACATCGAAGAAAAACCCAAAATCCTGAAACAATTTTGACAATGCCGTCCATGTTATACAAACCAGCTGTAAATGTCATAAAGGACAATCAATAGCACCATGAAACAATGTCATCTCAGGAATTCCAGATGATCTGCAGAGATGCTTGTAGTAGCTTGTACAATTCATGGTTTTCAATCTCGTAAAGGAGAGTGGTTTAGTGATACTGTGCTGCTTATTTGATTGTGTAAATTTAAGTGACAACAACATTATGACTCTATTATGGATGTCAAAGTGCTAATATTACACCACATCATACTTAATTAGGTAACAAAAATGTTACTTTATTTACGATCTTCAAGTACATCCTGAAGATTTTAGTAGCTATAATTTAATTTATTGCCGGTATTTTTTGTGTATATTAAATAGGTATGTAAACAATGCATTAAAGACAAATTATGTACAGTGATTATTGAGAGAGGTTTTTGTAATAATTATACCATAAAATTTCAAAAATAAGGCCAGGGGCTTTTATACATTTTCAAAGGCACTTTTTGAGAGGGTTAAGGGGATTGCCTCTTTGCAGCTCGGAGTCAGGAGACCTATCTCATGCTGAAACCACGGGATACAAAAAAGTACCAAAAAGTACCCGAAATTGAAACAGCTTCAAACAAAATGTGGTGGGTCTGCCAGGTTTTAGTTTTAGACTGCCTTACGGTCTAGCATGATTTTTTTCCTCACAGAACCTTATAACTTAAAATCATCATACAATCTCCTTTTAATATGGTTATCACCCTAAAACTAATTTGTTTTCTTGCTTTTTCTATCTCTGGTATAACAGAAATTGAATGACCCAATTTCTGTATTTTGCAGGTCCAAGAGAGGAAAAATCCTTTTTTTTAAAAAAGGATTTATTCTCTCTTGGCAGGTAACAGGAAATTGGGTTTTAAACATCAAGGGATTGTTTAGTACTTTCAGAGCTGTGTTGAGGTTGCATCTGCAATAAAAGTTAAATTCCAGTAGAGTGGAATTCATTGCCCTTTCCTAAGTTATGTTCCTCAAATGATCTCAAGTACCGAAAGGTAGTACCCCCGGAGGGGGCTCCCATAAGAAGGGGCGGGGATGCTAACTTAGGGGTGTATATTTTGGATTTTGGGTCTTACTTAGGGTGTTCTGGGCAAAACACCATTATATTTAGCCATAAAGGTCTTTTTAGGGTTGCACATGATGAAAGTTATAAAAATAACTATACATTTGTCTGTGTTTTAAAATGGTCTCTTTCAGGGGTCAAAAAAAGGTTGGGCCATGTCCAGATTGGTCTCCTTAGGAATTTCCGATAAGCATCCCTGCCCCTTTTTTAGGGGAGTCGCCCCCGGGTTAGCGCTCTGTCTCACAATGAAGTCCTGTTCTTTGACCTGTGCCAGCAGTTTTAGTTCAGTCTGAGTTCTTCACTCAGGCACTTTTACTAAGCGCATATCAAGCTTGAGGTGACTGATCCTGATTAGTAGCTATTAACCGGGGAAAGCTACTCCTGGGAATTCTTGGAGGGGTGTGCCACTGGGTTCTCCAAATTCAGTGATAGATTGTGCTCGTAAAAGTTGCATCATGCAACTACCCTATTTCAGACCAAAAAATGTCCTTTTCCATGGCCACACCCATTTTAAATCTGTACCCTCTAGGACCTCTAGACCATGACTTTACATAGGCATTAAGCCTTACTTAGATTAAAACGTCAACAAAAAGGGTAACCTTTTTCAGACCAAAACGGTGCGTTGTCGTTGATTTGTTTCATCGGTCCTAACTTTAATCTGGAGGGTGTGAGGTTCCAATCTTGCTCTGTATAGATTTTCGATTCGTTAGTCAGCGGGGCAATTGCTGGCGGTAAGTACGTCATTTATGGTAATTATAATGTACCGCGATATATTATTGCACTCTTGAACAACGCGACATGGATAATTTGGTAACTGCCCTTGAAAATGAAATTTTGGGGAAATGTGAGGGAAGTTCACTGCCTCCTCTGTCTACTTCCACCTACACCGATGAAAAAGATGGAGCTCTCCTCCGCAAAGCGTTGCTTGGGCAAACTATCTGCTACATTGTATCCGCTGTTGTTGTACAAGAAGGTCGCGTTTTGATGATGAGAGAAGCCAAAAGATCTTGTCGAGGAACATGGTATCTGCCAGCTGGCAGAGTTGAGAAAAATGAATCTCTTAAAGAGGGTGTCATAAGAGAAGTGCGAGAAGAAACTGGTCTCAACTTCCAGCCAATTTCGATCATTTGTATCGACTCTCAGGAGACATATTGGTTTCGCTTCACTTTTGTCGGAAATATCACAGGAGGAAAGCTTAAAAGCTTAGAGGAGCAGGACTCGGAGTCCATGGAAGCTGGCTGGTTTACACCAAGCGACATTTTTTCCTCCCTTGTTCTCAGAGGGGGTGACGTTCGTCCTTTGATAGATGCCGGGATAAAATGGTACGAAACCAGGCAAGGAAACCCCATTTGCAGATCCCTGCCAGTTAAAAAACCCCACAAAAATATAATTTTCAGATTGGTGGTAGTTAAAACGCAACCAAAAGATTGCAAGAAGTCCTTGTTTTTTGTTCTAAAGAATGGCAAATTTGGGGATAAATCTAATCCCCATTTTCCTTACAGGATTGTCAATAAATTTGATAGCATGAATGTCATTTCTGCGGTTGAACAGTTAATGAGAGACATTAACAGTGGAATTACATACAAAACACATGGCTACCTCAGTGTTGAACACACTGGAAAGCCTTCAGGAGATGTGGATGGGCTTTGTCTTACACTCCTTGTAGAAATATTCATACCACTGGAGGATGGCATTTTAAACGACAGTTATAGCTGGTTTGAGGTTAAAGAACAGGATCTCATAGATAAGATTTGGGAGCTCATTGATAAAGGCTGTGTAGAGCTTGTACAATGCTAAAAGAAATGCAAAGCAGTGACAATGGACCTAACATTCTTCCTTACAATACAGCTGGCCGTCCTCGGATTGTGATGGGTGCCTCAGCTCTGATATGACTTTTTGCAAATGATTGAAAGCATGTTTGCAATCAATGTTGAGAGACAAGTTTATTGGACAAAGAGAAAGAATAAAAGTGACTTCCCACTTGGTTATTTTTTCTTTTTTCTCAGATATTCACATGCCATACTCTTTCCTTGCCTTGCACTGATGTAATTAATTCTGTTTTGCCCTAGTCAAAGAGTCATGAATTGCTTAGGCACTAAAATGTTTACACCCAATTGATGAATTATGTATATATATCTCTGACCCCTCCCCTCTGGTGCCCTTCTTCCTCTGCAAAATAATAATAAGATATTAAACAGACTGAGAGGCTTCCTTGAAAGTAGTGTCACTGAGCAATTACTTATTCTTACAAATTTGTTGACCAGCAGAAAAATAATAAACAATGATTATTGCGATGAGGTTAAGTATGGTTGAAGAATTAGGCAGTGAGTGAAAAAAGTGTTCCAACAAAAAAAAATGGTGCTAATTTTCTTCCCTCACCTGGCCAATGGCTGGGTTATGGTGGAACAACATGAGGGAGGTGAGATTGAATGCCATCATATTATGAAGGAACACTTTGCTGCCACTTCAGTTCATGTATGATTGTTCTTTACCATCTCAGATAAAAAGTGGCAGAATTCAGATACATCGTGACACCAGGGTCTACACACGTTATTAGCAATTAAATTAATGGTTGGGTGTCCAACTACTGTATGTATTAATGATTGGGTGTCCAACTACTGTATGTATTAATGATTGGGTGTCCAACTACTGTATGTATTAATGATTGGGTGTCCAACTACTGTATGTATTAATGATTGGGTGTCCAACTACTGTATGTATTAATGATTGGGTGTCCAACTACTGTATGTATTAATGATTGGGTGTCCAACAACTTTCAGTCTACAGTAGAAATAAACTTGTTGTTGTTGTTGTTGTTGTTAATGAGTCCTGAGAACAATCTGAAGGAGTAGTGTAGGAGCTGCTCATAAGGTCTCTCCTGTTTGGTTGCAGGAAACAATAACATGTCATTCTTCCAATTGTCTCAGTATTTCAGGGGCGTAGCCAGGATTTTTCAAAGTGGGGGGGCACAGCAGGGACACCATCCGGGGATCGCCGACTATATATGGTTTATACCGCTGCTCTCCCTCGTGTATCAGCGGGCTCAGTTGTATTATTGCGGCATTAAGGCCCATATTAACTTAAAAAAAGAGCCATTGACGAAAATACTTTTCAAAAAAACAAATTTTAAAAAAGTGGGCTTTTCAACAATGGCATCTTTTACGGCCAAGATATTGTCATGGCGTTTTCGCCAGCTGAATATTGTAGGTTGTTTGCTCAAAAGAAGGCCTACCAAGGGGGGTCACGGTCACCCCAGGACTCCCCCTAGCTACGCCCCTGTATTTTTTGGGGTCAGGGAAATGCACCATTGGTGACTTCTCTTCCAAGTAGCTGCTACATGACCCATCTGAAGAATTATGCAGATTGAGCAGGGTATTATCCACTGAGGCTTCCGATAACTGCATGGCTCAGATCGTACAAAGGCCAAATATAATTCATACTTTAAAACATGCTTACCTTGAGTGGTGTTTGATCTGGCAGGTATTCTTCAAATAGCAGGTGTGTCATCCATTGAGTTTTAATTTCTGTCATTGCTATATTTTTAGGCAGAGGGTTGGCTATTTCTTCTTGGCAAAATGTGTGAAACTTTCTGCCAATAATTTTCTCCAGCACTGCTAAAACAACTGAGTCAACCCAACCTCATCCCCAGGACTTCTCAGTGGTCATCCCTTTTTCAGGTGATAGCTTGTATTATCGATGTCATTTTACAGGACATCACAAGCATCTTCCAAATTTGGTGAATGCTAGTTGGTTTTTGTAGAATAAAACGGGGGATTTGAGCCAAAGCTCATGGATGTTGGTACAGAATCTAAAATAACCTAAAATAATAAAAGAAGGAATTATTACTTTATGTTTACCACCTTGGTCTGAAAAAAATTATGGAGAAAAAATTATGTGCCGAGCAGTCTTCTTTCCAACTTATCAGAAGGAAGTGGCTGTTTTTATATAAAGGCCTTTAGTAAGATTTCTTTTATCAAAGTTTGATCTATTTACATCAGCATTTTAATGCAGCAGAGAGATTATTTTTCGCGGTCCAATTTCATACCGGAAATGATTTCGACCGGAAGTATTAGACTCAGACGAGTCACGTGACCATCAGCTGTCCAGCATACAACTCATTTATTTCGAGAAAACACACTTAGGTTAGATAAGCTACAGTGTTGAATTTTCTAGATTATTTTGAATATCCCTGCGGCTTAAATTACCTTAATGATTAGAATCTTCACCATATTTAAGTTACCGCAGGTTTAATTTGGAAGCAGTCTGTTTCTACGTAAGGACCATCTACAGATCGCACAGTATGGAAAGCCTCGCGTGAGTTTTTGGTAAGTCACGTATACAGTTAGATGAACTATTTTTTTTTAAATTCTTTTTGCGATGCAAACAACTTAGAGTCTTCCAAGGGGCGAACCCGTTTTTAAATGATTGATTTTTTTGTAGAGGAACATGAACATCTGACAAGCATCTGCAAACCCCGGCTGAAAACACATCAATGGCGGCTTCAATAGATGTGTTTCGCTCCTAAATTTTACAGAGGGCTGAATATTTAATACGCCTTTTTGTTTATGTTATTTCAGCTAATTGTTTAACTTCAAAATAGTCTGTTTTGCATACTAACAGATCTTCATAAATTACCCTTAAAAGTGTTTCTCGCTGGCATCGAAGTTTTCATCAATATGAAAAGCTACCAAATTTTTAAAGCCAATCTCAGGACGTGGGTCAAGTTTTCAGTCTGTTAAAGAACGTCTAAGTAAGTAGAAAAATGAAAAACTAGGATTTTTTTTATTTTTGAAACTGTGATATGGTGATTTGTTTTTGAAGTCAAAACAATGCATTTCAAAGATGATATTGCAGTAATGAACATTTCCAGGTGTATACCTGTTGTCGGTAAAATTCGTTATTCTCATCAGGTATTGATCAGCCTATATATTATTTTACACTTTATAGCTTTTTGCTAGAGTTTATTTCTTACCGTGGTAACTAGCAGGTGGAATTACTGCTTTTACTTGAGAACAGCTTTTAGCCTACAACATAATTCATTAAATACCCATCTGCTCTTAAATAAACTGGCCAAAATTGAAGACCTTAACTGCCTTTCCCCCCTCAATTTTAAGCTTTCTTTTATTTTCAGCTGTGAAAAATATTAGGTTTATTTATTTTAAAAACTACATCTCTCCATATGCAAATTTTCGTGAGATTTTCCTGAGATGGCTTCCCTTGACTTGATAATTACACATGTATTTTGGATAAGTCATTGCTGAAAGACATTGCAATCAGGACAGATCTCAATTTTGACATTTTTTGTTGTCAGATTGCTAAGCCAATAAATTTGCTAAGCGACAAATTTTGTGCCATAAACCTATGAACACTTTCAGAGTGATGGATAATGTTATACCATTATTCATAACAGTCTGTCGAATTTAAAGGCCACCTGCTCTGACCCGTTATCTTAAGAGGAAGATGTTCATTAGATACCCTGCATTAGTTATTGTATTTATTTGAAGAAGGAAAACAGTAATCATTATTTGCCTTTTTCTGTAATGAAACTATCACTGTAATGCCTGCAAAATTTTTTTTTTAAGAGCATCAGTTAATGGTCTTTCCTGTGGAGAGGGGGGGTTGGTGGGTTGGGCTGGTTAGTAAATTAATGCCTAGAAGGGGATTACAGGAACCTCTATTCAGGGGACACCCTCAGGACCATAGAAAGTGTCCCCTGAATAGGCTGGGGTTTGTTAATTATTAACCAACAAGATAAAATATTTTTCTTTTATTCTGCCTCGGAATCTGCTGCGGTCATTATTTCATGCAGCTGGATATGTATAAAAAATTATGATTAACTTATGGCCCCTTTTTGAACTGTGGACATACCTATCCCCTCCCCCTGTGTACCCTTACCCCCTCCCTCCAAAATCAATGTTGTATTTAGACCCTCAAGTCTTTCTTGGGGGTGGTTTGGGGGGGGGGGGGTGGATTTACGGTATTTAAAGAGAATGAAATAATAAATAGATGAAATTGTTGATAAAAGTAGCACCAATTTTAGACAAGTGTGTCAACTACTTTTGTCCCTGATTGAAGGTTTCACAACCCAGAAAAAGTGTCCCTTTTCCCTGAATAGCCTTTGTCCCTTCAATAGAGGTAACAAGTACCGAATTTAGTGTCCCGTGAATGGAGGCTTCCCTTCAATAGAGTAAGTTAGTGGTCTCCCAAAGGAGAGGTTTCACTGTACCTATACCTTTTTCAGGCAAGAGCTGGATAAATAGATTTCACAAGTGAAGACATAACAAAGGAGAGGGAAATTATGCCATTTTGGATTTTTAAAGAGTCTTATCTGTATCTCAAAGAGATACCCAACAGTTGAATGTAAGAAAGGTTTGTAGTCAAGAAAAGACTGACGAGGCTGCTTACCGGTAGCCATTAACCAGAATCCTCGTTGTGGGAATTGATGAAGGAGATATATTTTGTTTTGTTTTTTCATTAAATGATAGAGAGGGAGGACAGGAGGGTGTGAACATGGGAGAATACAGGGTGGGGTGGGAGGGGGTAAGGAAGGCAGGCGAAAGGCAGGAGAAGAAAGGGTAGGAGGTGATTGGATTTGACCCTTGTTCCCTGATAATAGTGGTGCATCATGAACAATTCCTTGTTGATAGGCACAAGGTATATAAGCACCTGTCATGGTCTTCTGACCAAAGTGTAAGGAATGACTAAAGGACATTTTTCTGTCTTTCTTCTGCAGAATTTGTGTACAGTCCAGACATGGCAAACCCTGCCACCATACCGACACCTGTAAAAGATGTCCAGGGTGATGGCCGTTGGATGAGTATGGTGAGTATACCTGGGGGTGGGGCTGTCCCACCATGCAGTACCCCCTTCAATTTACCTTGGGGAGTCTGCTGTGGTGTTCCTGTGACTTTGTACCTGTTCTCAAAGGGATACTCCAGAGGTATAGTGATATAGGCATGACTGGAAGATATCTTGGGGGTTCAAAGTTTGCATTATTATTTTTTTTTTTGGTGGGAATATTTGGAAAGCATATTGGGTGCCTAATTTAAGTATTAATTTATGGGGTATTCAAAACAATCTGAAGATTGGTACTGTGTGAGTATACCAGCCATGTAGTTATGCCTAGTACAACCAAACATTGAACATTTAATGGGAATAAATGTTTTGACCAGGGACGTTTTGTCTTTTGCTGAAAGCCCTGGGTGCTTTTGTGTTTTTTTTGTTTTTGACCCATGACTTTGACTCTTGAGTACCCCCCAGACCCTATTCAACACAAGGATCTATACTTACTGTACAGAATGAAAAAGGAGGTTTTTTTTTCCTCTGAGGCTAAAGAATGAAAGGGAAATGAAACTTCAAATTTCGTAAGTTGGAAAGGAAACTTTCAAATTTCATAAGAGGGCCATACTGCAGAATCAGGTCAATCACAGCAATGCATACTAACTGAGAGATATAATAAGATATTACATTACAATAAATCAGAAAATTGTTTTATGATTTAAGAATAGTTAAGCATCACAATTGTTAAAATTTGTAGTAATGGTTAACTCATTAATGTTTTTCGCTCCCTATTAAATAGCATGAAAGATTTTTGCATGAGGCCAAAGTTTACCCATGTGATGTTTTATTCATTGGCGACTCACTTATACGGAATATGTTTGAAACTGAGGTAAGGGATCGCTTGGCCATTATTTTTTAATGGAAATAAATATTAAAATTGAACACTAACATTTTCTTTTTCAATTATACATTGTAAATTTAAGTGAGACACCCGATCTGCACAATCTGATTGGTTCTCCGAATATCCTCGGCTTGTCTATCACTACAAAATAAATATTTCAAATTACTTAAATTATTGATGTAACTTTGATAAACAAGGACCTCTATCGTAACTTTTGATGATGTTACTCTTTTCAGGTATGGGATAGCAATTTTGCACCATTAAATTCCTTGAATTTTGGAATTGGAGGTGACTGTACTGAACACATACTTTGGAGAATAGAACATGGTGAACTAGATGAGGTCAAAGCCAAGGTGAGAATATAATTTGCCTTGTTTTTTTCTTATTTCATTTGTAATAATTACAGTAGCACAAATTAATTATTAATTTGTGCTACTGTACTCCAGTAGAGAGTAAAATGTGACATTCAGTCAGTGGCTTGGAAGTGGATTTAGGACATATTAGTTTCAATCAGGTTATGGATATTTTTTGAAATATTATTATTATTAATATTATTAATTATTTTAAAAGTTGTGTGTTCTTATTAGGTAAGATTGCTGACTGCTCGTCATTTTTCCAGCTGTGTGTTAAGAATGTGTTCACTTTTTCAGGCATTAAGGATTGAAAGCGTGTAAAATTTCTAACTAAGGGCCTGTTTCCATGGAGGTGGAAGACCGCAGACAGGTGAGGTAACATGTGGCTGGTCACCCCACCTATCATGTAAACATGATCAAATTAAAATGAGAGATTATATGGACAGGGGAGTTACCCCACCTAAGCAGGTTACCTCACCTACCTGGGGTTCCCTACCTCCATGTAAACAGGCCCTAAAATACTTATGTGAAATACGTATTGAAAGTTTATTTCTATCATCTTTCAATTTAAGGTTGTGGTGTTATTGGCTGGAACAAATAATCACCACAGTTCTGCTGACCAACTTGTAGAGGGAATTGAGGCAATTGTTTGGAGTATCTCAAGCAAGTTACCCGCCGCTAAGATCATTGTCTTGGTGAGATAAATGTACAGGGATACCATCTTCATTAACTGTAAATTCACAGTCACCATAACCTTATTGACTATCCTAACTTGAACCACTTTACTTCTTAACCTAAAGTTCAGTTAATAAGCCTTGTTTACAGTCAACAATGTGGAAAACATAGATTCTCAGATCTAAAACTTTGTGCAATCAAAAAACCTAGCGTAATTGATTCAGGAGATCTCTAGGGTGTGGCATATTCATATACCCACAATTTTTTAGGTATGAATCACTTTCCAGAGATTTTGAAAGGAATGAATTGATTTGAATAAGGTAAAAAGTTAATTTGTCAGTCATGCCACCCATATTAAGCTAATACCTCACCACTGTCATGAATAACCTGGCAATACCTTAATATTTCCAAGAAGAAATATCATTTGTCTGACTCTCATAATCAAACAGAACAAGTCAAAGCATTACTTAATGAATGTTATGGTATTTTCATTATGGTGTGTGAGTAGCTCTGGCTTTTAGTGCTAACACGTAAGGTTTAAATGACTTCAACAGATGGAATTTTCTCTGTTTCATAGATTTAATTCATGTTTTCATATAGACACGAGTGTTTTACTGGAAAATAAACCACTCGTAAAATTCATAAAAACTACATCCATGACCTGCGTGGTTTATTTTCCATAATCTTACACGTGAGTTTATCGATGACGTAATTTCGGTCATTTCCCTCTATTATTTTATTGATGTCTTTTTGTCTATATAATAAAAAGAACATTACACGGCGGCTTGAAGATATGAATTTTATATTCTCGTGGCAAAAACAATATTTTACTCACTCGCTGCGCTCGTTCGTAAAATATTGTTTTGCCACTTGAAAATAAAATTCATATCTTCGCGCCACCGTGTAATATCCTCTATTTTTTTTTTCGTTCATAGGGTCTCTTACCCCGGGGTAGGCAACCAAATCATCTTCGTGAAAAACACTTTCAAGTAAACCATGCCATCAAGGAAGTTATCGAATCCATCCCTAACTCACTATATCTTGATGCTGACCCAGGTTTTGTGAGAAGTGATGGTTCAATCAGCCATGAGGAAATGTTCGATTATCTGCATTTGACAAGAAAGGGATACAAGAAATTCTGTAAACGTATCTATGAGGTGGTTCTTAAGTTTGTCAAGTACCCTGGTGTTAACTCTTAACTTCAGTCATTTTTAAAAGTGATACATTTCAGTTATTTATATGTAGTAACATCTTGTAATTACTAATGTAATATCCTGATGATACTCAGGGAATTACTTGGGGAACACACAAGACACCTTCAGGGGTTTCCTTGGGAACAACAGGAAGAAATGCAAATTCTCAAGAACTCCAAGGAACTCATGAAAAAACAGTCAAGAGATTTTTATGGAACTTCTAGGATCACTATCCTGTTGACAAGAAAATATTGGGAAATCCTCAGGTCAACCTGAGGACAGTTTCCATGGTGTTCTTAGGGCCCCTGGGGGATATATTAGGTCACTTAGAGTATGCCCGAGATCTAGAAGCTAGACGTCTTATATAATTACCATCATTGGATCCTGTGGCGTATTTTTTGTGCTCTTTATCCTGGCCTAGTTAATCTTCAAGGGCTTTGCCATGAAAGCACATTGGGATTCCTGTGAAATGCTTCTGTATTCCTCTCATATCCCAGTGGCGGATCCAGGGGAGGGGCCTGGGGGGCCCAGCCCCCCTCCTCCCCGCCTCCTCCCCCTTATTTTAAGAGGAAACTGAGGCTGTTAATCCTACGTCCCAAAGCTGGCTGCAAGACAATAGGTAAAATCAATGATATCCAACACAAAGCAAGGTGCCAAGTGGTACTTCTTTGAATTTACAATTTCTCTGGTATTAAAAACCCATATATCTGGATATATGGGAATTCAGCGGAACCTCATTAACACAACCCCTGTTGAGCAATGAAAAGTTGGTTGTGTTAGAGGGCTAGTCTCACATTATGACAGTGAGCCTTTCTAAACTATGGGATAACAATACATTATCGACTATCAATCTTTTGGTTTCATACATAGACCAATTTTCGTAAGACCTTAAAATGAAAACACAAGAACAAAACAGAAACAGCAAACCAACGGAAATAGAGCAATTTGATTGGTTTATTGAACGGATAAAAACGCGCGTGGCTTTTGATTGGTTAAATGAACGCTAGGGTGAAAAAACTTCGTGCCCAAAAACATTCTAGAAATCAATCGATACCTCGCTTTGACGTCATACTGCGACACGATTGGCCAATCGAACAATGCCTTCTCCATGTTAGAGTTTTCTTTGGCGGGAAAACGAAGAGTCCATTTTCTGATCTTTTCATCTGTTGACGGATAAAACAAATAACAAACACAAACCGAAACCATTTTTAAGGTCATACAAAAATCGCTCTATCACTTGAATTCTTTCAATTACGCACGTAGACCTAAAGGTCTAGTATTTAATACAGCTAGCCAATGAATTGTTGGCTCGTTTGAATAAGCGCACTTGCAACAGTGAATCAATGTGACATAAATTATTGCCCTAGATATTTTAAAAGCCATTCATATCGTACGTAATACGACAGAATTGTGCTTAAAATGGGTATTCAAGATATAGATGAAAATATATTAGTGTTATTGTTGCAAATAGCACAGAAATGTCATAACGCTACTCACTAGATTCAGTTTTAACTGTATATTTTTAATGAAAATTATCTATAGTGGAGCCTATGTTAAGCAAACTAACTACTGAAATTATTTGAGGTCTTTGAGAAGAAAAATAAGTGACTTACTGACGTCCGTTGTTTACTAAATAAAGCGTGCCCACTGTATGCTGGTTTTCACTGTTTTACTCGCGGATGCGTAGTGAAACTCGTCGTGTTCGAGCCTTAATCATACTGCAATGTTGTTTCCTTAGACAAGAAACGTTGCTTCATGCTGTTTATTATTGATTGCCGTGGTGAAGTTAGCCTAAGGGGGGAGGGGAAGGGGAACTTCGCGCGCGCCGGGAGGTTCCCTTTTACCCCCTCCTCGGGCGCCCCTTGCGCTCCCGTGCTTAGCCTGCGTAAGATGGCGGTTTTGGTTGGGCGTGCAAACTAATAAAGGCGGGCGGGGGCAGAGAAACCGTGAACGCAGGCTATATGGTGGTTTTTCTATTCAGCGGTCTGACAGCGAGCTCAAAACTGGAATACAATTGAAGATTTTCGTGAAAAAAAAGAGAAAAATAGGGATATGGATATCATATTTTATGGTAAGACGTACGGATAAATATGTAAAATAAAGTTTGGCAGAATCTCAGGTCGGCAGTCGTTAATTCTGTTGTAACATCTCAACATTTTTCGCAGAGCTGTAAGTTTTCCAACGTGGCCAACCTCGTCCCAGGGCTTTTCCAAGGAAAATGGGAGGGAAAAATCCTGGAAACGAGGCTGAGCCCAGATAATTTATGCCCTGGAAGTCAGTTTCACATCTGGGCTACGGGTGGGAAGTACTGCGGGCGCATCGAGGAGGCCGGTAAGTTCCGAAGCTGGTGTCGAAACTTTGTGTTTGCGAAAAAAATTCTGATGATAACGTTGAGACTGAAGTTTTCTTAAATCCTTGTTTCGGACTTCTTTCCTTTCTGTGTAGTATCTGAATACCCGCAAAACAGAGAACTGATAGAGAAAGGCGGGGGGGGGGTAAATGAGCGCACAGTCGGCCTCAGGTTTATCAGCTAAAGTACTGTTATGAGTCACCGGCGTAAAATGAGAACCTTTACATTTCTAAGGCATTTTATTTTTCACTGTCCAAGAAGAATGACCCAGTCATTTCTTCAGCACTGTGCATTGTAAAAACTAAACCAGCAAAAAGTTTGATTTATTAACCGAAACGGTTCTTCAAATTGACATTAAAAGTCCCATCGCGGCGCGACACTATGTAACTGACTTTAAATTGTTAGAGGTATGAACCTATAACAATGAGATGCGCTAACTTCTCAACAATGGAATAAACTGAAATAAGAAAAAATCCCCAATTATGTAAATGACCGTGCAAAGCTATTGTAAAAGCTTTGGAGTGTCGTGGTATTTTATAGGAAACACCTGTTCGTTTTTCAAGACTGAGTATCTTTTCCCCAAAATGAATTTGGCTGTTTACAAAAGGAAGTCTTGGCGAGAGACATTGAAAATATCTTACAAAGAGAAAGATTGTATATAATATGAAGTAGATGTTAACATTTTGTGATAAGCACGGTCACAAGGCAGTTGAAGAAGCAGTAAATGACAACGCTGGAATTAAACTGTGACAACGAAAAAAGACGGCAACCACAAACGGTCAAATAGATAAGTACCGCAAGGGCAATAGTTTAGTCTACCATACATGAAATAAAGGGTTTTAAAATTCAGATTTGCTCTCTAAAAGAACTTTATTATTAAAATAATTTTAGTTGCAATATCCTGATGATTTGTTTAAATCTTTTATCAGTATATTGTAAAAGGGTTGTAAAGTAATAAAAATAAGACGGTTGAATGTGCGCTATGATTGGTTACTGAACTTGATTTATAACGTTTTGAGATAAATTATTTAGTGCTATAAAGCTAATAGGCGGTTGTTTCTAACAATGAAATTACCGGCTCTAAGCTGTGCCAGCATGGATAAAGTGGATCCAGAGAACTGCACAAAGCCGTCCAAGTTTGCAGCTATAAGGACAAAGTGGGACAAATACGCGAATAGCGCAACTCTACATGGTCTGTCACATATTGTCTCCAGCAGAACGGTTCTGCGACGAGTCTTATGGTGTATATTTCTTTTCACGGGAATTGGGTACGTGTCTTATCAATGGACGCTGCTTGTCGTGAAATATCTTAGCTACCCAGTGAACTCAAAAGTAACCGTGGAATTCGAGTCAGCCCTTGAATTTCCAGCCATAACAATCTGCAACTTCAACATGCTGAGACAGTCATTCGTCGATCAGGAGAATTTAGGAAATGTTGGCAAGTACGTGTTAAGTAACAAACTTCCCTGGTGGGAAGAAAAGACAGGCGAAATCGATTGGAAACGCTTTGAAAATATCAGCACTTCGGCTACTTATTCCATGGCAGGACACCAAATTAAGGATATGGTTATGGAATGCTACTGGATTGGTGAAATGTGTAGCTTTCGCAATTTTACACCTGTTTTGACCTCTATGGGGCTTTGCCACACATTTAATTCAGGTCAGTATGTTTGGTTTTGAAAACGCAGGTCGTATTTAAATAACTGTAGTTTACACATGAATGTATAGGCAGCATATCTTTTAAAGAAAGGAATCTGATACACGAAAAGGATTGTTACTTTTTCCGAAAATCTAGCTAAGCTTACGTTGCGCCAAAATAACATTTTATCCTTTTAAAGACAAAATTAAAGAAATTTGCTTTCTCGGTTTTAATGAAAACGTATCCAACACAATGTTTTAAGGGAAACAAATATCGCGTTTCCACTCTTTAAATGACCGCGGTTTTTTTTACCCACATACTGTTTGGTGCTTGTATTCACCTTACAGTTGTGAAAATAGTTGTTTTGTTTTGTTGACTTTGTTAAAAAGTTAGTGATAACAGCACTATTGTCAGTACCATGGCTTCAGAGGTTCGCTCTATAGCCGGTATCTTGGTTTGAAAGAGCTTTTAAGAAAGGAGTTAAATTTGTTCCTCTGCGCGTTTTTTGCTCAGTTAAGAATCCCTTCCCCTCCCTCCCCAAACACCCCCCACGACGCTTTGTTGACAAACTCCGTATAATCAGCGAGGATGTTAAGGAGGGGTGTATAAAGGCGGTTCTTTTTCGAAGGGGAGGGGGTGCTTATTTAATATTTTCACCATAAGGTCGATCTTATTTATTTTAAAGAAGAGCGCATAGTTGAAAGGGGCCGCTCATTTAAGCGTTACGGTACTAATTTTTACCTAGTTTTTATTAGCCTGCAAAAACAGCCGTTTTCCCTCCCTTCTCGATCGACGTTGGGGAAGTTGCGAGAAACGTTGCGAGGAACGAGGAAAAACGGCTGTTTTCGCAGGCTAAGTTTTTAGAGTTTAATTTTAGTCCGCATATTACAAGTCCAGTCCAAGGCCCAGTTGTTCATAGAGTTTCTTTTTCTTTTTGTTCAAAAGCATTTTCTAGCATAATTTTCACTATTCTTTATAATACAGCATCCAATCATCAAATAACAGACAAAAAGAGTTAAAGTGAATCTGCTTTTTAAGCTTTCATATCTGAATTTAAATTTCGCATTAACCCTTGTCGGTTATTTAATAATCCAGCTTTGAACAACCCAGCCGAGTCCACTCTGCAAAATGCCGCTGTCACAGTCATATGGGCATCCCCATTATATTGGCATCCCCTATAAATCTAACCCTAACCCTAACCTAAATCCCTAGGGTAATATGAGAAGGGTATGCTCATGTCACTAGGGTTTTGGGAATTAAGAAGTCCAAAACGCCAATATTACTGTAAGTCTGTAACACCGTCAGAAAAATTTAATAATATATTATCCTTGAAACATATAATCTCAGCCCACCTGCGAAACACTAGTTCTAATTAACATCACAGCAGGATTCACGACGAAAACGTTTTAGCGACGGTTTAAAAGCTTCAATGTTGACTTACCGGTGCGATTTGACGGTCCCTCACAAAGCATATACCGTAAATCCTCTATTAAGCCCCCCCTCTCTAACAAGCCCCCCCTTTTCAGAGGAGGAAAGTTAATAAGCCCCCCCCCTCCCCCTCCCCCAATCCTTATTCTTCACAAAAAAAATTAACGATTCACGTGGACTGATCAGTTATGGTTTATTCATAAAAATTACTGAAGAACATGAGGCCGAAAGCACATTTTTGAAGAATAAATTTTGAATTTTGTTTAAATACTTTTTGCTATAAGTGATGCGTTTCGCTAAATTAAATAAGCCCCCCCCTCTCTATTAAGCCCCCCCTCAAAAGTGCTTGAAAAAAATAAGCCCCCCGGGGGGCTTAATACAGGATTTACGGTAATACTTCATGTGCAAAGATTCATTTTCTACTGCAATCGTCTTCTTAAAAGTTTAAACCAGGTTTATCAATCACACTTTACAATTTCTGCGAGGATAAAAACTAGATAAAAAAACCTCTGCTTTGTCGGAAGGATTCTCTTTTAAATTTTTTTGCCAAAAATTGGCAAAACGACGCTCCACTTACATACAAATTAATTAAACACCCCATAGCAATCAGGTAATGACAAAGAATAAATTGTAAGCGGAATTTATCTCCTAAAATTAAAAAAAAAATTGTGAAAGAAGAATATGTACATCCTAAAACAACAGCCAACCTCTTTGGAAAATAAGAGGGGAGGCCTGGTTGTTCTGCAACGGTTTTATACCTTAAAACTCTTCCAAGAGTCTCGCAAGGTAGACTGGAACTTCTTAAACGGGCAATCCCTTTTTGGACGAAGAGGTAGGGTATGTGTCTCTCAAGAGGATATAATTTTCCGTAGATTTAATAACCCTTTCACTGCCAGAGTGTTTGATCGAGTTTTGTGAAGTGATTGTAACTTTTGAGTCTGTGGATGAAATCCCATGATGTGACCATTCAAATGAAAGCTCTTCAGTAGTACTTTCACATGGTACTATTTATTTAGTATGTAGTTCTAACTTTTGAGTCTGTGGATGAAATCCTATGATGTGACCATTCAAATGAAACCTCTTCAGTAGTACTTTCACATGGTACTATTTATTTAGTATGTAGTTCTAACTTTTGAGTCTGTGGATGAAATCCTATGATGTTACCATTCAAATGAAAGCTCTCTGCCTGTACTTTCACATGATGCTATTTGTTTGTCAAAATTTTAGAAAATGAAATTTGGAAATTTGCTCGAAATTTGCCTTTGGCCACATTTGGCAGTGAACGGGTTAATAGGGTGAACAAAGAGTACAGGATTTCTCTATTGAGCATCTTGAGTAGGGTGGTTTTCTGGACTGGAAGCCTGAAACATGGCGGTGAGCTGTCTAAATGCGCAGTACCGACAATTTTTTTGCGCCCTTCTACTGGAAAACCGCGGCACGAGTTTAGACTAGTCACCAGTCTTATTCTTCATCATCAGGTCAAGACGGAAGTCAAATCTTAAAGGTAAACAAGCCTGGCGCTGATTCTGGTTTGCGCGTCATGTTAAACATAGGACATGATGATTATTTTAGTCTGCACGCAAGACAAGCTGGTCTTAAGGTTCTTATTCATCACCACGAGACCCCGCCCATAGTCGATCAACTTGGTTTTGCAGTGGGGCCTGGTGCGAGTACGTTTGCAGCCATCAAGAAAGAAAAGGTAAGGAATATAGACCTTTTTAGCTTGAAGATTCTTTAAATTCCAATTCAGACCACGTGATGTTCTCGAAATCATCGTGCAATTGTTTGTGGGATCGTCACTGGGGACGCCCCGATCAATTACTAGCCATCTAGTAACAGTCCCAGAATTCTTTGCAAAAGTTAACTCGTTTCCAGTTCTCTTCTCGTTAGCGAACTAGTTGTGCACTACCGTAAATCCTCTATTAAGCCCCCGGGGGCGATTATTTACTTCAAGCCCATTTGAGGGGGGCTTAATAGAGACTGGAGGCTTATTTAAGAGGGGGGGCTTATTTAATTTAAAAACGACAATGGTATCAGTTCCCCATAAAGAACTAGATTGCAAAGTGGAAAAGCTCAAGTACAAGAAGTCTTAGGCTATGCAGCGGAGGATCAGAATCAAATCCGATCTTTCAGTTGGTAAATAAACCATCCTGGATCAGTCCACACGAAGTTTTACAGTCGTAGTTGATTGATACAGTCTATCATTTATTAGTGAAGAATAAATAGGGGAGGGGAGTAGGGGCTTAATAGAGAGGGGGGGTTATTAACTTTCTTCCCCTGAAAATGGGGGGGCTTATTAGAGGGAGGGGGCTTATTTGAGAGAGGGGGGGCTTAATAGAGGATTTATGGTAATATGCTTTATTAAAAATTGAATCATTGGTTAATGCAATTCTAGAGCTCTAATTGGCTTAGCCATCATAGAATATGAGCCATCACATCATGCTCTCCAGATATGGTAACTGACACGTCCGCTAAAAATTAAAACAAGCTAAAAATCGGTCGTTTTTACAAATTAAGTCAGGAAGAATTCTCGATATTTTGTGGGCGTTTTTAATAAAACAATTATTCCACTCGCGCTTGTTGGATATGAGTTGATCATAGCCAACGTGCACTCGTGGAATGATTGTTAATTGTGGATACGGTAACATTTCAAAGAAACAATTCTCTGGGATAACATCCCATGATCTGAAATGGGAACAAAACATACAAGCTAAAAAGGTCTGCTGACAAAAATAAGAAAAGTATACTAAACTGGACCGTCAGAACGTATTGCCATAGTTGCCATAATTATTTTACAAAACGCTTTTCAGAGCGTTTACTTGAGCTTCGTTGACCTAGCAATATACAACAAACAAAAGGTTTCAGGCTAAGGAACATGACCAAATGATCCGAATAGTACGTTTGAGTTAGGAAGAGAGTTAGATAGTTTGAAGTCCGAAGTTAAAGTTTATTATTCAATTTTTTCTCTTTACTCTGCCTTTGTTTACATTTCGTTTTGTTTCAGACATTGAGTCTCAAATGGCCTTACGAGAGCAATTGTAGTGAAACTCCGATATTCAGTATTCCAGGCTATAATAAGTACACGACTTCTACCTGTACGTTGATCTGCAAAAGCAAATATCTGGTTGACAAATGCGGCTGTAGGGACCCTAGACTTCTTGGTAAGTGCTACTTAAAGTTTGTATGTCAATCTTTAATTTTTTCAACAACGATTAAAGTTTGTCATCAGGGGGAGTTTTTTAAATGGAAAAAGACTCTTTCTTAGAAGAGAAAAAATGGTACACCATTGCGGGAAGAGATTTTCCCGGTTTCCAGACGAACAACTCGTTGCGAAGCTCGAGCAATGCCGATCGTTTCGGATACTTAACCGAAACTGGTTGACCACGAAGGCTTGAGAAAAATTCCCACAGGATAAGAGCGAAATTTTCATATCTACAAGTGAAATTTCTGCTCTTTCATAAGGCCAATTTGGACAAAAGATTACTGGAACAGGGCTAACGTTTTATTTATTTTGATATATATCTTTTTGGCTTTTAGCTGTCGGCGACGCTGAAGAATGCGGTTTAAAACAAACTGCGACTTGTATTTTCCGTGAAAACGGTAAGGTCAATTTTGCGTTCCTCAGAAACACCCAAATACCTTGTTGACGTTGTCATCTTGATGTCCTTGGTAGCTGCCCACTAGAATGAATTCTGGTCCCCAGAGCCCCAGGCCCCCAGCCGTTCTGGGCGCGGTTATCTGGGCTGCAAGAAACGTGGTACTCACTTTCGGGCTCTGCAGTCAAAGGGGCCAGGAGTAATGAAAGTGTAAAAACTCTCGACGAAGTGTGGCCGAAACCTGCAGGCTTTTTAATATTTCAAGACACTCCCGTCAATTCTTCACCATCCAAAGAGAAAAATACTCCAAGATTCATTACTGCTTATGATCATTTTTTAACTCCTTTTCTCTTTTTAGACAATTTTTACAAAGAAACCGATGAAAGATGTACCTGTCCAGTTCCCTGTGAAACAATCAGTTTTAACCCAGTTCTGTCTTTCGCAACATTCCCGAGTGAGAAATATATCGCTGAAGCGACGAACAAACATGTTGGAAATGTTTCCAAAGAAGAAAGACTGAAATTCCGTGAATTTATCAGGTACAAGACAGGGGGGGAGGCACCGAGCAAATGGTTATTAGTGAGCCTAAGCAAAGACGTTTTGGAGGGACGCAAATTACGCGGAAGTGCAGTGTTTTCATTCTTGGGCAATGATTTTGCTCAAATTTTTGGTCAAATTGTCTTCATGAGACTAAAGGCACTCAGCAATCCAAATTTGGAAGCGTTATGGCAAATTAAAAGGGAAAGAGACTCACTTCCGCTTGACGTGCGTCGCTCAAAAACGCTTTAGCTACCTATTTACAAAAACGGTCGACGAGTTGAACTCGTGCAGAAGCTCACAATGAGTGAGACAGCGCGTTTAGACTCTTAGATAATTTTTGAGTTAATTTGCTTGTAAACTTACTTACGAGATTGCAATCAAATATGGCCGTCGATCTTCTAGATGGGTTGTCTCCATGGACTTTACTTCCAAAGATCTTCAACCAGCTGATGATCCTACACCAGCCAAGGCAAAACACAGCGAAAAATGGTGGGGCTTGTCAGATCTTGCGAAGACTGGACAATTAAAAATGTTGAATACTAAGTAGAAAAAAACATGAAATTGATCTTTACGAAAAGAGGACTGAGAAAAAAAATAACAAGCAAAACAAATGGTGAAGTTTATTTTCACGATCCTCCTGTGGAGGGTTAGTGTATCATTTTTTTTAATGCTATATCCGTTAATAGGAACCCTTTTTGGCTTTGTGGTCTTTTAATAGGGTACCCAAAAGCAAAGGAACTAATCTGAAGTAGAAGTCTCCTACCGAGGTCGTGACTTCGACTCTGTCTTAAGTTTAAAAATCAGATCTCCTTTTCCCTAGGCCGTGGGAGATCTGGGTACATGTTAACGTTATCGAATTTATAAAACGATTCACTCTGGGTTTGCTCTAGAATTTTAGTAAACTATCCACTGCCGGCCTAATTTCTCTTAAATAGTTATCTTTTCTCGTGTTTGACCCGTAATTTTTTAGTTTTATATATCTTTCTATTTATCTTTATTAAAATAAGGTCGAGATTTAAAAACCTTCGAACAGATGAAAACGACTGATTGTCTATAATTAATTAGAGAAACTCTCTCATTGAGCTAATCATTGTGCTCTCTCATTGAGCTAATTGTTTATGATTAAGTCGAGAAACTCTCTCATTGAGCAATCTTTTGCTGTATGTTAAAAATTTTTTTGCATACTTTTAAAATGAAGCCATGTTTCTTCATCGTTACAGCTCCAACGTCTTGGAATTAAACGTGTATTTTCAAGACCTGCAAGTCAAAGTACTGACACAGCAACCGGCGTATGGAACAGAAAGTCTCTTGGGTAAGTACGCAAGCCCCATTAGATAGTAAAGCGACGATCGCAATGTCATTTTAATCAACTTTGACAACTTGAGTCGTGCAATGACGGCAAAGAAACCCGCCAAAAATTGCGCTGCACGTTAAGAGTTTTTGTTTCGCTTATTTTCTCGTTTCTGTCGTCATTGTGGTTGCGCTGAGCTCCGCTGTGAGCGTTACCACGCAAAACAATTCTTGACATGCGAAGATTTCGACTGAAAAACTGACGATTTGATGAAAATCGCGCGTCGAAATCGACGTCCGCAGGTACGCATACAGAGGCGCAAAGAAGGGGTTTTTCAGAGGAGTGTTGAACAGGGGGTAAGAAAGGGTAAAGATGGCAAGTGAAAGAGAAAGCCCTTTAGCAACCACGGTCACCTCCCCTAGCAAAAGCCAATGAAGAATGCGTTTGCCTTCCCAAAACAGTCCCGTGGTGCATCCAAACACAACATGGACCCAGTTCCACGCGGAATATCTAGCTGGAATTTTTGGAATTTTTTTATGGAGAGCAGAAATCCGGATCACCGGATCACCCGGAGAAAAAGGGAGAGAAGGAACAATAATCTCAACCCACATTTGTCGCAACCTTGGCCAGGCGTTGTGGAGAGCGGCACAAAGGGGCTGAGAGTGGAGGGGAAAAAGCGGATAACAGGCCGGGAATAGTTCAATATCCTTCTTGCATACGGGGGAAAACGAGCAAGATGAAAACTGACAACTGTGAATAATTAACCATGGGAATCTAATGAATATTAATAAGGTATAAATAGGGGGAACTGCTAACTTTTCTTTGGGCAGTCCCAGTATCTGAAAGCCTGGAACAGACTACACTTGTCGTCGCCTCCGGTATAATAGGGACCTTACGTTTCTGAAACGACTGTGAATTACTAACGTTTTTAACCATTCGGCTGAAAGTAACGACTACCCTAAAGTAGCAGCCCCTTTTGCCTGCTAAATTCGAACAGGGGCTGTTATTTTCGCAATTCTACGGTAACACAAAAACGTAAATAAAAACCTACCTGTTTTTTTACTCACCAGGTGAAGCCGGAGGTTTGCTTGGACTCTGCATTGGTGCCAGTCTTTTGACTGTCATGGAGGTCTTTGACCTCATAATCAGCATAATAGCTATAAAGCTAGGATGTATAGCTACGGACTCGGCTTAAGTCGGCTCGTTTTGGCCTTTAACTTAACTTAAAGCGAGAAAAGCATCAAGCAACTATCGATTTGTCATATAGTTGTTAGACTGTTTCACTTACTGAGCGGTGTAGTCAGAACGAAGGACTGGATCGAGAAGGAGTTATTTCGACGCACTTCTCATGACATTAGTTTGGTTACGGAGCTCGGCTCAGTTTTCAACATTACGCGAAGTCTTATTGATTTCTTTATTTTTAAGCACTAAGTATCCTTTCCAAGGAACCTTGTTGCATGCATAGGTTGCGCACACGCTTAAGAGCCATGAGACGCTTTGAAAGATAACTCTACCACTACGGCACAAAGAAATGACAATTGAGGCAAAAAATTAAGGATGGTCGAGAAGTGGTCAACTCGATGGTTTGTTGCAAATTTTGACCGTTCGTCCCATGATGCTTTGCGCACTGCTGCCCAGCCTCCCCTGCAAAAAACGACGCCAGTGCGCCGGAGCCGCATGCTATGATAAAGGACGAGGATTCCATTCACACAATCAAGTATTGCGTAGTAACACCATCTCATTCGAGTAGTGTAGGAACTGTTCGTAAGGTCTCTCCTAATTGGTCGCACGAAACAATAACATGTTATTCTTCCAATTGTTTTAGTATTGTTTTGGGTCAGGGAAACGCGCCATTGGTGACTCATCTTCCGAGCAGCTGCTACATGACCCTCTCATTCTCTCACGTTATATACAGATTCATATCCTAACTTGTCTCGTCCTGAAATTAGACTCTAAGAAACAAGGACTTTCTGGCGAGGAAGGTAAACGGCGGCAAATATTTACCGAATGGCCCTCGGCATCGAACCGAGGCCGGGATCAATTGCTTCGATAAGTTGACTTACATTATTCACCTGAAAGAGACCTTAAATGAGTCTTTATTTTGCAGGTTTAAACAGTTTTAAACGTATTCCAGTTTAAAGAAAGGAGCTGATTATTACATGATAACCATAATACCCATTGCTTTAAGTGAATGAACCGTTGATTATTGAAGATCAGTAAACTACTGGCACCCTTACAAATCGCTTTCCTGATTTCCGCAAACATAAAGTCAGTAAAAGTGGTTCAGACTGTTAAATTTCGGTTCAGAAAAACGTTTTTTACTAAATCTGAGCAGTACTTGTTGCACTAACTCTTTCCTTGTTATTACTATCTATCGTCATAACGTAAACAAAATTGAATGGGTTTCCTGTTACACCTTAGCTTATCAAACTTTCTGGATTTCAACTTCCAAACATTTCTTCATGCCAATGGACAGCGGAATTTCGCCCTTGACTTCTTCCCATAACTCCTTGAGAACCTTGACGGTATTGATCTCATTCTTACGTAGTTCCGACACCACCTCTTTCATTTTGCCCTGGTCAGTCCAGTTGTACTTCTTTCTCAGACGGGCGAAAAACTGTTCTACTGTCTCCGCCTCACTACTGGCTCCTAATAAAAAAGAGAGCACGTTAAGGTGGCTCGACCTAGTATGTTTTTATGCAAACCCTCCACCCTTGGACCTCTTGTACGTAAGCAGATTGGTCTCTAATGCAAATACATTATAACACATGGATTACACATAGACTGAACTATACTATGAATATATAATTTTTTCCCCGATCGGAATGAACATCATGTCACAATGTGTTTAGCTCTTAATCGAATTGCAGTGCTTATTCGCATTTTCTCTGGAAATGCTCTACGCTACGTTGTTGTATTGTCTGTTGCAAAGTTTTACAAAAAATCTATAAGAAGAATTTCGAGATTCATCTTAGCCTGATCTTAGCCTCTTTTGTTATTGAGCATTTTGACATGACGTCACGGCGGCCATATTGGTGTACCAAGAAGATCTTCTGGAAGTTGAAATCTTCTCTTATGTAAACGCTTCCTTTTCTTCCAATAAATTAGCATAGATGCTGGCCTATGAGTGAAAAAGCTCTATTGCACACAAACCTCTTGAGTAATTAGGAAATTGTTATGGGCTCCACACGAGGAATATGAGGAAGATCAAATATACAGCAAAGGGCATTAGAGAAACTTATGTTTGGAGATTACATATTAATGATTGTACTTGGCCAAGAGAAGAGACTCTTCCCTAACAGGTCGACCTCTTATTGGTTACGTCGAAGTCACATGATATCTAAAAATAGAAAAGTTTTCCCCGCGAAAGTTTTTGAGGGGGCAATGCAAAATCTATGACGTTGGAAGGTAAATACGCTGTTTCCCACACGAAAGTTGACTGCTCTCGGATATTTACTTCATATATTTGTACAATTTTTTCTTCATTAGAAACAAATCAAAACTGTTTCCCTCTGGCCTGCCATCAAGTGTATGTTATTTGTTGAGCGACATTTGATTTACACATTGATTTAAAGATGCGCTTCCTTAATGAGAAACCCGACTGGAAAATATTTCAAAGAGCTTTGTTATGACATTGCTGAGTTGTTCCTTTACAGAAAGACTGTAGTGAAAACAAACGGAAGAAACAAGTGCCGGCATGAGCCACCGCCCAAGAAATTACCTCCAGCTGCAATTTCCCTTTCCCTCTGATTTTTCTCTCGCTGCTTTTTGATCCGTATGAACCTTTCAGCAGAAAGCAAGGCAAAGTCCAAGATGTCGAGAGCCGTTCGCTCCACGGTCAAGGACGTGTCGCTGCTAGTATGCGTGTAATTCGAAATGAAGAAGGTTCTTTCGCTGGAACTACCAATCGCCCACGAAGCCATGTCAAAAGCGTTGTTTTTGTCTTCCTCGTTTCTCAGCTTGTCGAGATAAGTGATGACTGTCACCGGGGCATACCCTATAGAATAAAAAGGTGAAAGCACATTCAACATTCAAGCAGGACGTCGTTAGGTTCAAAAACGCTTGATCAAGCGTTCAAGGGAATGCCCAGCCTGAATGCCCGGGGGGGACACTTGGGTATTTTTTGGGTGGGTATGTGCCGCCCGGGACTCCAAATTGGCACTCCGTTCTAAAAAAAAATTCCCCTTAAATTGATACCCCGTTCTAGAAAGGGGCCAATTCTTTATACCCCGTTCTAGAATTCGCGCTAAAACTGATACCCCGTTCTAGAAATGGGCCAATTTTTTATACTCCGTTTTAAAGTGCAACAAGAGTACAACAATTTGCTTGTTAACGCATTGAACCGTATTTTTAAAGGCAATCTGTCCTTGAATAATTTCAAATGGCTGCTTACCAAACTGGAGCTTTCGTGCGTTCGAAAAATTATACCCCGTTCTAGAAAACGCCTCTGAAATGCATACCCCTTTCTAAATCAGGAGCTTCAAAATCACGACCCCGTTGGGCGGCACATACCCGTATAGGTAATGTATGGGAGTACCCCCCCGGGCCTGAATGCCAACAATATAAGATAGAGTTCACAAAAGCCTGCGTCACAGACGTAATTTAACCTTGGGTTACGTAACGTCGGCGAAGCAGCGCCGAGATCCTTGTTCGGGGCCTCCAACAGATTCAACGAATCACCGGAAATGCGTGTCGGATTTCCTTTTGACAAAGATTGGCAAATCGACAAAAGCTTTTTTAACAGGTCAATCATAGAGCGAACTCAAATCCTGGTACACAGGTGGGGGCCCAGAACAAGGATTTCCGGGCTGTTTCGCAGACGGACTTAACCACAGAGTTAAGCGCGGGCTAGTTCAGAATATTTAACATCTTCTTTTTTGGGGAGGGGGGGTGGGGGGGGGGGGGGGGGGTAAGCTGTCCAAATTTATTTCGACGGTTATCTGGAGCTATTCGAAGGCAAGGCAAGCTAGCCACATAACACTTAACCTTCAGAACATTAATAGAGAAGCGCAAATCTCCACCCTCAGCGAACACAGCAAACAATCGGCGGCGCTGAGAAAACAGCTCCTAAAGGCACAATTGTAGCCTGCGAACTGATAGAGCCGCCTCCACGCTCCACGCTAGAGAAACACGAGACGTCCCTAGCAGCGAGGAGCGAGGAGAGAAGGCTGCATTCGCAGGCTAACACCTAAAATGCTAGGGATCAAAGTCCACCAACCATAAAAGAGGTTCGAAATGCACCTGTCACACCACTAAATTCTTCGTTTTCGTTCGAAATGATAATTCTTGTTCATTCAATTAAAGAAGAAGGAGAATTCAAACACCAGAAAGCTCAGAAAAATTTTCCGAGCTCCAGGTGAGAATCGAACCCACGACCCTCCGAGTTCTAGTTCGGACGCTCTAACCACTGAATTTTTTTCGAGCTGAAGGGTCCTAGAGAAAAGACGGTTGATTTCGGTCGATTTGCGAAGAAAACAAAAAGCTGAACCACTACCACTAATGTAGGTCATTATAGACCGTGTGTTAGGGAACAAAGTTAAAGATAGCAAAAAACTTTAGCCTTACCGTCTTCCCTGAAATGCTCTCGCATTTTCTGCAGAGCGTTCTTGTACTTGCCGTCCTTCAACCGCGGATCATTTGCCTTCACTACAAAGATCACTGCATGGGCATATTTGGAGAGATGCGGAGCTTTTCTTCCTGTCTGAGGATTACCCCCTTTACCCTTGTCTTTACTTCCGTCATAGCCTCGTTCGATCTCTTCACCTGGACGAATTCTTAAATTGAGAAAAATGCAAAACTTTATTTATGGTAAATGTCGCCTCATGTTAGAGAATTCGGATTTCGGAATTCAGGAAATTTTTGCTTGTGAGATCCAGAATCCTAGGCTTTGGAGTCCGGAATATAGCTCAAGGGATTCGGAATCCTTTTAACGATTGGACTACTCCAGAGTCCAAGTTCCACTGACAAAGACTGCAATCCAGTACCTGGAATCCGGAATCCATGGCATGCAATCCAGAATCCAAGACTGTCTTGGATTCCCTCACATGAACTTACACAACCTCGTTCCCAGGTTCTCTCTCTCGCTCCGTAGGGACGGGTAAGAGAGAACCCTGGGAACGAGGTTGGAACTTACAAACGCCCGGAGCGACTATCAGATTCACTTGTTTGATAGAAAAAGTGTATAATAGTCTATTTCATGTTTTTTTTTACCTTGTGACATAAACTAGCTTTCGTTCCCGGAAACTCAAATGTGACGCTCCACTTTGGAGATCGACGGGGCGCAGCCTCGTTCCGTCACAGAAATCGCGCCGAAATCACCGTTCTTATGTGTGTTGGGAAAACAGAAGCCATCCCCGGTATGGTTTTTCAGGTGCACCCAACGAGAATATAGTTCAAAACCACTTAAACATAGCATTGTTAAACGTATTTTAGTATTTAAACGGTGGATATGGGCATATTTTTATCCCCTATAAATTTTTCATCTGTTCGGATTTCCTAGCTGAAAGTCTAATGATCCGAAAATTATAGGAATCAAAACTTACCTGTTCGAAAATTTCAGCCAGAAAAAAGGCTCCCGAAAATTCTAGGTGACCTTTTTAGGGACTGGTCAAAAAGTATAGAGGGGGGTGGGCCAGAGTAGAGAGGGGGTGGGTTATGAGGTTTTGAGCCTTGTGCAAGGGGTGGGTCGTGCAATTTTCAGCTACCCTTAGGGGGTGGGTCACCCTATTTTATTACATAGATAGGCACTAACTACTGACGAGACAGTTGACTACACTTGTTATATAAAACACAGCCGGCTGGAATTATTGCTAAAATACTCACAAACCTGTTGTGCGAGAAAGTACAAAAGGGTGACAGGCCGTACATCTATACGGGCGTGGAACCCTTAACCTTTTTTTTTTTGGCTCTTACGAGCATGTCCTTTAATGATTTTCCTTTTTTGTAAGAAAATGATTGGTGTTTCTTTAAAAATTTATTGAGGTTACAGTTGGTTTTGTATAAGATTCCATTTTTTCATTCAAGCTTCCTTTATAGTACACACTGAGGGTTGGTATTGTGTCACGAATGGCAATATTTCTTTTTCCTCGTTGTTGTTTTGTTTTAGGAGTTTAGACTCCCTTTTGCGAATTTTATTTCTGATAGTATGTTTTCTATCAAAGATTGTGGATAGCCTCCGTCCATCAAGTGTTATTTTTTAAATTTGAATTATTTTTCTCAAAGGTTGTTTCTGAGGAGATTTTTCGTAGGATTCTCAAGGCTTCTCCTTTGACAAATCCTTTTTTAACATCTGGAGGGTGACACGAGGTGAAATGTGTGTGCAAGAAGGTTTGCCTTTGTTAAAAATGTGTCTTTGCATCAAGGATAGATTTTTCCTTGAATCTTGTGCCTTTGTATACAACCGTGTCTAAAAACGCAGTCTCAGTGTCAAATGTTTCGGCCGTGAATTCAATAGTTGGGAGATGTAAGTTTGCTTGTTCAATGAAGGTTTCGATGTCTGGTTTACTCATGTCCCATAGGGCAAAAATATCGTGTATTTAGCATTTCCAAACTGTTGTTCTAAAGACAGTTTTGCTTAGAGTTGTTGTTTCAATGTATGTCATGAAAATATCGGCAAAGGAATCAAATCTACTGTCTTTGTGCCCATTGCAGTTCCATGGTTTTGTAGGTAGTCCTTTCCATTGAAGTGGAAGAAATTTTCTTTGAGGATCGATTAATCTAAGCATTTCCAGCAAGTAATGTGTAGGATTGGGTTGTCTTTGTAGAAATTTTTATTTGTGACAGACAATTTCAATATACCCTCGTTTTGCTGTATATTTGTGTCAAGACTCATAACGTCCATCGAAACAAGGAATGTTGGGTTTTTCACATTTGTCTTTTCAGTGAAAGGTATGATTTCTGTGATTTTGATATTGGTTGTAGCAGTATATCAACAAATTTTGTCAAGCACAGAACAAGGTTTTATTGGATTATTAAGAGGAAACCAAACATCCATGTTTTAACTAGGGGGTGGGTCATGCAATTTCCAACCTTGCTTTAGGGGTGGGTCAGTCATTTTTGTGCCGAAGGGAGGGGGTGGGTCATGTGTTTTTTATCAACCACATTTCCAAATGCTCCGGCCCACCCCCCCACCCCCCTCTATACTTTTTGACCAGTCCCTTAGGGTAAAAATCCGTTGAAAATGGGCAATTTTACCATTTCTTAGATGTTCGAAAATCCTAGGAGAGGCAGGCAAGCAAGAAATTTTACATCAAATGTTCCGAAAATTCTAGATCTCAAATCGTCTTCCGAACAGATATTTTTCCGAAAATTGTCGTTGGGTGCCCCTGGTTTTTGTGCCGGCGCGAAAAAGCCATCTAGTATAGTGTGAAGGATCATAGGTTCGAATCTATTTGGGGTAACTTGGATAATCTTCTGAGTCACCCTTTTCACTTACATATCAAACGTCACTCTCAATAGGAACGGGGTTTGTAGAACACCCACCCCACCCCCCCGGGGTAGAACACTAATTACCTTCCCGACATAATATTGAGGCATTCGTCCATAAGCTTTTCATCGCTGTCAAAAAATCCTCTTGTATCCAGGAGACTTATTTGTGGATGCAAGTTGTAGTCTTCAAGAATGATAGTGCCTTCTTTTCCCTCGCCTTGTTCAAAGGCGGTCTGCCTGTGGCTGTCTCCACTGAGAGATCGCTGTATGGTACCTGTACGAACAGAATCAATATGATTTAATAGGTCTTATCTCGGTTTTGGAAGTCATCTTGATGAGTAGGCAACCGCGTGAGAAATTACACTGTTCGTACGAGAATCTAATGTCGAGTAATTTCCGTAAAACGGATGTTCTGAAAAAAAAAATCAATTGTAAACTAAAGCTACACAGCAAAGGATCTTCATAACAAATTTTGGGGGCCGTCACTGTGCTTAAATTTCTCCAGACGCTTGGCTAGATTTTTCATATAATTGTCTGTAATTTTTCCCGGGAAATTTTAGTTGGCAGGAAGAAAATTTCTTACAGACAAATGTATAAAAAAATTTAAAAAGTGGTTCTAGCGCATGTAGCTGCATATAACGCACTCAAATTTTTTCAGTAGAATCGTTAGCAGTGAAGCTTTAGTTTACAATTCATATATTTTTTTAGAACAGCCGTTTTGCGGAAATTATTCGATATTAGATTCTAATACAAGCACTGTAATTTCTGACGCGGTTGTCCACCCGTCAAGATGGCTTCCAAAAACCGTGACAAGGTCTGTTGAGGGTGGTGTGATTCGCTTCTTTTATAGACACGAGAAGGGGACTGGAGCCGAAATGTGTCCCGCAATTGTTTCTGGGATTGTTACTGGGGACGCGCCGGTCGGGTAGGTACTTGGTGTAAGACTCACATGAATAGTAGTGGGTAGTGGCTCGGGACATTTTGGGCAGTCGTACACCAAGTAGTACCACGCCGGTCCGCTATTGGTAAATTCTTTCCCTGTCCCTTGTAGAAGACTTTACACCGCCTAGTTTCCTTCTCGTACGAATTTCTGATAAAGAGGCACAGGTTTCAATGGTTTCTAGTCTACGCGCGAAATGACGTCTGAGGAGTGAGGAACGAGCTTAGAAATAGAGGAGAAGTGTTACGTCAAGTTACCATGGCTGCTAAATGTTTGGATAGCTTAAGCAAAACTTCAATAGATACGGCAAACTCGTCCCCAGGGCTTTTCCCTCAAAAAATGGGTGGGGAGGGAAAAGGCTCTGGCATCGGCTGGTCACGTGTACAGCCTAAATATTCCTGCGAAGCTAATTTATATCAACCTCGTCCCCAGGGCTTTTCCCTCAAAAAATGGGTGCCCCACCCATTGAGGAAAAAGCCCTGGGGATGAGGTTGTAGATACGGTCCTTTCGGATAAAATTTTGTTACCATGGCAACATGACGTAACGACTTCTCCTCCCTATTCCATATTCTACCCCTAACGAGTCCGAAGGCTTTGACTTCAAAATGGTTCGAAAAGTGTGTTAAGGAATAATTCTTTATTTTTTATTGTTTGTTGATTTTTATGTTGTTTTTCAATATAAAGGAAAACTCTTACCAATGAAGGATGTTTTTCCCGAACCCGTCGGTCCGATCAAAGCTATACGCACTCCATCCATATCTCCTATATCCAGATCACGGAAACTTTCCTTTTTAATCCTCGGGGATTCCTGCAAGTTGTAATTCATCAGAGCATCTTTAAGCTGACAAAATGATTCCTCCTCCTTTCGCTGTCGCTCCCTTTCTTCTCTCTCAAGACGTTGACGCTCTAATCGGTTTCGCTGCTCCTCGTCTTCACACCTGGCCCTTTCTTGTGCTTCAAGTATCGCCTGTTCGCGATCTCTTTGCATCTCAATCTGGAGTCTTCTCATCCTTTCTTGATTTTCCTCTTCGGCTTGTTCTCGGCCTTGTCGTGCCGCATCTGGATCTGTTCTGTCCACTGTTTCATAATTCTATTGTCCCAATTACAAACAAACAAATAGGTAAATAAACAAAAAGATAAATACTACCTTATTGCTTTGGCTGGGTTAACCAACACGCGAGAAACTTTTAATCCTCGGTTTCAGAATCGATCGAATATACAGATGAGACGTGCAGTTCCATTAAGCAAACATGTCTATCTCTTTTATAGACAGTGTGTAGACTCTTCTCAGCTTTTCTATTTACTTAACGCAATCTGCAAACAGAAGAGGCCACAAACGTGCGAAAAGAACGCGACAAGCGAGGGACTATGGTTACAGGGAGTGGGCAAGAGAGAAAACAAAATCAAAGACAGTTGAAGTTCTCTTTCCTCCCAGTGATCCCACCCCATCTCGCTCCACTTAGACACACGCAACCAGATCGGCCATTTATCGAATCATAAAACTACGCAATAGACAGAAGGCTGTCAACAGCCCGGGAGGGGGGTAGACTCCGCATATGAAAGGGGTGGGGATGCTCGTCGGAAATTTTGAATTAAACCCCTAAAGGAGACCGATCTGGGCGTGGCCCAAGCTTTTTTGATCCCTAAAAGAGGCCATGTTAAAACACAGAAAAATGAGAAAACTTGGATTATATGAATGGAGTAAATAAAACGGCTTAAAAATATACATATCAAATATATATTTTTATATTTTTTCCCGTGCAACCCTAAACGAGACATTCACGGCTAAGTATGATGGCGTTTTCCCCAGAACATCCTAAATGAGACCAAAATCCGAAATTTACACCCCTAAGCGAGACGATGAGCATCCCCTCACTTTCATATGCGGAGTCCTCCCCCCTCCGGGGTCAGCAGTGTACAGTGTACTTCTGTATGGAACTGTATAGAGGGTTTTCACATGACGTCAAGGCGGCCATATTGGTGTTCCAAAACAATGAAACGGCGGCCATGTTGGTGTACCAAGACAACCCTGTGGGAATTGAACTCTTTTCTTATGTAAAAACTTTCTTTTGTTCCAATGAATCAAGCTGTCATTCTCCGAAGTTCCGGAAATCAGGTCTTTGAGTCCCCCCGCCTCGCCAAACTGCCGTTTACGCGAGCGATTTGGAAGGTGTATTATGGGCAATGCGAAAGTAGCTAATTCCCAGATACATGTCCGTCGGAAAATTACTCATTGGGCACTAACGCCTACCAGCTAACCGACACAAAGAACTTTCGAATACCATCGCCGCTGTTTTATAAAGGAAAACTTAATGCTCTCTTTTCCGCGAAGTTGTAATAGTTGCACTAACCGACTTGTCTTTTTTGATCTCCTAGAAAGTGCTCCTGAAATCTAAAAGTTTCATAGAACTCTTTATACATATGTTGTTGTAATTTTATCCTTGGTTTAAATTTTATTTTCGTTTGTTTTTTGTTTATGGTAATGTATGATAATGTTAGTAAAAGAAAATAAGGTAAAATTTAAACCACAACACATAATATTCGTTTTCATGTGAAAATATTTTCGTCAAAGCATCGCGTGACCATTTTAATTGAAAAGTAACTTATCGCGTGACTGTTAACAAATAGCCTGACGAAAAAAAGCTACATCACATGTTCTTTGCTGACAAAAAGAAAAAAAATTCTAGAAATGCGCTAATGAATTTGTTTGGAATTAGTTTGCATTAGTTTTTAGAAGGTGGTAGTATTTGCGACAAAAAAAAGAAAAAAATAATGAAATGAAAGAGTTGTCTAATTCCTGGAATTCGTTACATCGCAAGCGGAAGTATATTTCCCAGAAATTTACATTATCTGTACAGGAGAAAATCTTATTTTCTCTCCATTTGTATGCCCTAAATTCGCCTCCTTTGGTTCTTTTTAGAAGTGCTCATAATTTCCTCTTATTCGTATCTTGGTCTTTTAGCGATTTGCGAATTTTGACGTTTTTAATGCTTTTAATC